TACCCAGTCCTCCAATTACTGGCTTCGAGCAACCCAAAGCTTCAGAGACATGCGATGACGTGCTTGAACCTGCTCACGAACGCATGCAACTACAAAGACGCCAGCACTATGGTGATAGAGAACGTTGATTACCTTGTGAACTCAGTGGCGTTGAAGCTGAATACCTTCGATGTATCTCCCTATCCGCCGCAGGTGCTGCTGATGATGGTGAAGCTCTGCGGTGCCCGGCTGATCCCCTACCTGGACGATCTGGTGGATTCCATCTTCGGTATCCTAGACATGTACCACGGCTACCCCAAGCTCGTCGAGCTGATGTTCCGAACACTAGCGGCCATTGTCGACGAAGGAACCAAAACGCCCGCCGTGCTAGCAATCGGTGACGGCAAAGGCAGCACCACCCAGCCCGACCACCGCAAGAAGAGATACGAAAGCCTGCAGATCTCCACCCTCGCGCAAGACTTTGCCCAACGACGAGCCAAACGCGCCAAACTCACACACGAGCTCCCGGACGAGCCCATCTCGCACCCTCGCAAGCCGTGGAAGAGCTCACCCCAAGACGAACAACAACCACCCCCCACCGAATTCGACAACACCCTCGCCGAGCTTCTCGAGAAAGACGAATCCGACGAGCCCCTCCCAGCCCCCAAGGAACCAGAGGACGGCGAAAAGCCGCTGAGCAAACCGCACACCCTGCTCCTGCACATCGTCCGCTCGATCCCGTCCTACCTCACCTCCCCGTCCCCATACCTCCGACGCTCCCTCCTCACCATCCTCACCGACGTCTTCCCAACCCTCTCCCTCAACGAAAATAGTTTTCTGCCGCTAATCAACGACCTCTGGCCCACCCTCGCCGCCAGAATCAGCTTCCCGTCCTCCCCATTTAGCAGCACCAGCACCAGCACCAACCCCCAATCCGCACCCACACCCCTAACCCTCACCACCACCACCGCAGCCCCAAATAACCCAGAATCCCTCGAGGAAGAAACCTACGTCACCACAACCGCCTGCCATGCCATCCGCACCCTCTGCCACGCAGCCGGGGACTTCCTGGCCTCGCGCGTGGAATCCGAATTCCCCCGCTGGGAGCGCTTGTACCGCCAAACGTGGACGAAAGTCCGGCACGACGCCGAGAAGGCCCTCGAGCGGCGGTCACGGCAGCATCCACCCCACCAGCCCGACAAAAAGCTTCTCGACATCACTCCCTCAGAGAATCACCCGCGTACAGCCACAGCCACAGCCACATCCACATCCACTCCAAACCTCCACCTCAATCTCACGCAATCCCTCTCCCTCCACGCGACCAGCGCCCGCGCCTTCACGCCCCACCACGCCATCTGGCGCGGTTTGCTCCCGCTCTTCATTACCCTGCTCACGCACGTGCGGCTTCCGCTGAAGGTCGGGGATACGATCGCCCGGTTTGTGGTGGAGTGGGTGGTTTTGTTTGCGGGTGGTGGGGCGGAGGTGTATGAGCCGTGGTCGGCGAGGAAGAAATTGAGTGCTGACGGTGGTCGTGCGGATCAAACCGATGAACGATCTGCTGATCTAGGGTCGATTGAAGAGGCGCTGGAGGCGCTGGAGACGTGGAATGCGGACTTGACCTGGTTTCTCTTTCAGGAGCACCGGGCTCGCGGAGTTGGGTCGAACATCCAACAAAAGACGAGGAGTAGTCCTTTGATTTGTGAGGTGGTGGAGGAGCCTTTGAAGGTGTGGACCGTCCCGGGGACGGGGTTGAGGTTCGCAGAGTTGACTTTTTGAACATGAACAATAGTCGGGAAGTTGATCAACACAAAGTGGTACAGTATATTGCCTAAGCTGGATCTACTATTCATAGGGTGGAGATCAATGTATAGAGCAGAGAAGTTTATTGGTAGCTAACTAATATGTTCTCGTCTCGTGTAAACCTCTCAGACAACAAACTCAAGCAACAGCGGGTCAAAACCGAGTATACGCATTAAACGAGTGGAGTCGGTGAGAAAAACAATAAGCGAGGAGACAATAGGTGGAAGAATTCCCGAAAGCGATCATCTAGAACTAGAAACCAGCAAGCTGGCGGCAGTCTACTCATCGTCTTCCTCGCTCTCCTCCTCGCTCTCGGCGTTTTCAAGCCACTCGAGGAAGGGCTCAGCGGCCTTGCGGACCTTCTTGCTGGTCGAGATGTCGACGTACTTCTTGCTAGCCTTGGAACCCCAAGCCTTGAGGGTGTCCTCAGAGATGAGGTCGTGCTCGTAGTACTTGAGCAGAATGGCAGGAATCTGCCCGATCAGCTCGGGGCGGTCCTTGCCGACGAAGCGCTCGGTTCCACCCAGGAAAGCCTTCTCGTGACGCTCGGAAGTGATCATCTTCTTGAGAAGACCGGCACGGGCGGGGATCTGCTTAACGATCTTGTCGTCGAAGATGGTTTGGGCGAGAACGGCCAGAGTCTTGTGCTTGCTCTCGATGCCATACTCCTTGGCCTTCATGTAGATGTCGACATCGCTGACACCAGTGACGCCACCCTTCTGAGCAGCAGCGTCGATGATCCAGCTACCAAGCTCATCGTAGGCGGACGGGCCATCGGCACCGTCCTCGTCGGCATCCTCCAGAACGAGGGTGCGCTTGAGATCATCGGGGAGCTCCTTGGCACGAGCCTTGACGGCCTCCTCGGAGACGTCGACCGCCCAGTCATCGTCATCAATTTCATCCTCGGCCTCAATTTTCTGGGCCTGAGCCTTGATGCGGCGGGTGAGCTCGTCGTCGCTTCCTGCTTCCAGGGCGGCATCGGGGCTCTCCTCATCGCCGTTGTCGGAGTTGCTGTCTCCGGGGCTGCCATTGCTGTCACCGTTGGCTGCCTTGTTCTTCTCCTTCTTACGATCGCGGCGATCCTTCTTCGAAGCCTTGTCCTTCTTTCCTCCCTTGCCCGAGGCGACATCACGCAGGATGAAGGTGCTCAGCTTGAGACGAGAGTCGACCTCGGAACGTTGACCACAGGCCTTGCAATCCAAGAAGATCTTCTCGTCCTTGATGTTGACATCCGTTTCCGGATTCTTGCACTTCTTGCAGAGCACGAACTTGGAGATGAAGCCATCGAGATAGTCCTGAAGCTTGGGGGCATCATGAGCACCGTTGATGATCCAGCGGTCATCGGTCGGCTTAGCGTTGGCCTGAGCACCGAGCTCGAAGCCGAAGTACTTGATGACATAAGCGGGAGGCCGAGCCAGAGACTGAGCGACCGAGTTCAAGTTGACAACGACGGTCTTAATACCGTTGCCCTTGCCCTCGATCTTCGACTGCAGGCGCTCCATCTTGTAGCGGTAGAAGGGATCGGAGACATCCCGACGAATGTTGACAGTAGCCATGATGACGGTTGAGGTTGATAAAAATCTTCAGGAAGACTGATTGTTGTGGTTATATTAAGCGGGGAGGATTCTGGACCAGGGATATCTTGTAAGAACAAGACATGCGTAGATTCCTAGTTGAGAAGGAATGGTGGCGGTTTTTTGTTTTGCGATCGTTTAGAACGAGAACGATGGAGGGCAGCCCAAAAGCTTTCAGCCACAGGACTTCGAATGTCTACTACAAGGTTTCGACGTGAAGCGAAACGATTGCAGCTTGAGCGGCAGGTGGTGATCGAAATCTCTGACGCAGGACGAATACATAGACAAGTTCTCGACCGACTCTATTTTCAGTGGCTTTCTCTGGCAGGAAAGAGAGAAACCAACGGGTGGTTCTTCTGTGGGGGAGGGAAAATCGACACGGTCAGATTCGCAATCCTGGTGGAGGAATGACAGAAAGGATGGTGGCAGTGAGACTAACCAGAGTGGCTTGTGCGTGAACAAAACTTGAGGTGCAAACCAGCAGGCAGAAAGGTCGCCTGAAGGGTGATTTAATGGGACAGCAGCGTATAACGCCGATGGAGTTGGAATAAAAAAGGGGGGGAGTGGTTGACAAAAACCGAGAAGTGATGTGATAGAGAGTGGGTGAGAAAGAGAAGAGAGAAAGAGAAGGGGAAGAGAAGGAGATGCGAGCGAGGGTAGAAAAGGTAGAAAAGGTCCCCAAACAAAAAAAGTCCGACCCGTTTTGGTGCCAAGCACTGATTGGGAAGGAATGGAAAAGGCAGGCACTTCGACTCCCGGCGGCCTGAACAATATGGCCACCAAGTGAAAATTTGAGATGAAAAATGGAGACGCTGAGTCAGCTGCCTCCCTCCCCCCCCCCCCGAATTGAGTGAGGATGCCGGCCTTCCGGTTACACGTGCTCCCATTCACTCAATCCAGTCGCTAAACTATTGTTCGCTCTCTTGTAATTCTTCTACTTCTGCTCCGAGGTAAATCTTGCTTGCAACAATATCTGGGAGGCTATAGCTCGTGGTTGTGTCCGACCTTATCCCCGAGATCATCGTGTCGCTGCCTGCTCCCATGAACCCTGCTCAAGCATGCTATGGATGCCATGCATTTGTCTCAATTCGATGCTACGTGGAGATGTTAAGCACTTACGACATTATGTCCTGCCTGCTAGGCTACCATCACCCTGTAGTTACACAACCAGACTGGCCTGCTTATCCTAGACAAGATATCCCGGCCAATCTTCCTAATGAAGTAGTTCTGATGCTTGAGGACTCACCGCCGCCTGTCTTGTCACACACACAAGTCAGGCACTGTGAAATATGAGGTGCATCACGGTAGGATGTCTTCGGGATGCCTTGGACAAGCAAGGAACCTCAGAGACTAGGTCGGCTCAATGTTGCATGGCACTCGCTCGGACCCGGTGGAATATATAGTCGAGGCATTCGTAGCAGTGTGCTATGCAGTAGGCCATTCTCTGGATATTTCCAACATATCAAGGCGTCGCATTCTTTGTGTCTTTTGTCTCAGACACCAATAAAATCATCAAAATGCATATCAAAACAATTGGTGCAACAGCTTGCAGCAGCAAATCGCCATCGACCACAAGGATGTCGTCGGTCGTGCGTATAGAATGACTAACTTTCGGGCGTCCCCACACACTGCCCGACATTGCGAGAAGCCTCTTCCAACCGTCCGAGTCCTTTCACCAAGGATCTTGAATTGTGTGTAAGTCTCTCAGTGGGTATGTTTTACTCTTGATTTCCCTTCCCCGCACGGGTGCGACTAATTTGACGATGCATTAACTTGCATTGTTGGTGGCTCGCTCCCGCACCCCACGTGTGCCCCTCGTCGCAATGTCACGAAAAACTAAATTAACCGCATCTTCTAGCCCCAGGACGTTCTGATAGTCTGTAAATATGGCTCTCGATCTATCTGTATACTTGGTCACCGACTCGACCCCTGCCATTCTCAAGGGTCGGGATCTCTGTACTGTCGTCGAAGAGGCCCTCAAAGGAGGTACGTGCTTTCTCTGTCTGCCAGAGACATCTCCACTGACCACTTATCTCAGGCGTGACTATTGTGCAGTACCGCGAGAAGAAGGCCGACACGGGAGCTCAAATCGAGACAGCCAGGAAGCTGCACCAGATCACCAAGGCCTATGGAGTGCCATTGCTGATCAACGACCGTGTTGATGTTGCTCTGGCCGTGGGAGCGGAGGGTGTCCACCTTGGCCAAGATGACATGGGTATGCATCTCCCAACCCCGTCTTGCAATCTACCGCGCTAACTGCTTGCAGCGATTGAGGTAGCGAAAAAGCTTCTCCCAGAGAATGCCATCATCGGTATCAGCGCGGGGTCTGTTGAGGAGGCCCAGAAGGCGATTGCGGCGGGCGCCGACTATCTCGGCATTGGCACCATGTTCGCCACGCAAACGTAGGTGCCATCTGTTGACTCACCAGCACAAGACATCGATTGACCAGGTCAGGAAAACGAACACAAAATTAATCCTTGGTACAGCCGGTACCCAAGCCATTCTGGAAGCCATCTCCGAGACGGGCCGGACGGTGGGAACCGTCTCCATCGGTGGAATCAAGCAGTCGAATGTGCAACGCGTCTTGTACCAGTCCCGTGCGCCGAACAAGGGGTTGGATGGCGTTGCCATCGTCAGTGGTATCATGGCTGCTGATGATCCCAAGGCTGCCGCGGCCGAGTTCGTCAAGCTCGTTGCCAGCCCCCCTGCATTCGTACACAGTGAGCCGTCGGCTTCGGCGCGGGACACCACCGCACTCCTCAAGCAGGTTCCCCAGGCGATTCAAGATATGGTAAAGGCTCATCCGCTGGTACACAATATGATCAACTATGTCGTGGCCAACTTTGTTGCCAACGTCGCTCTTTCCATGTACGATACCCCCTCGCGGTGCTCACATACTTGACAGCAGGGCTGATAACGTGTAGGGGCGCTTCCCCAATCATGTCTCCATACGGCGACGAAGCCGTCGACCTCCGTCAATTCGGCGGTGCGCTGGTGATCAACATGGGCACTCTCACCAGCGAGAGCATCCCCAATTACCTCAAGGCTCTGCAAGCATACAACGAGCGCGGAAACCCGGTGGTATACGATCCAGTCGGCGCGGCTGCGACCGGCATCCGTCGGGGCGCAGTCAAGCAGCTCATGGCGGGGGGATACTTCAACCTCATCAAGGGCAACGAGGGTGAAATTCGACAGGTATTCGGGAGCAGTGGCGTGACACAGAGGGGTGTCGACAGCGGCCCCAGCAGCCTTGACGACCAAGGAAAGGCTCGGTTGGCTCTTGAGCTTGCTAAGCGAGAGCGTAAGTTTGACTACACGCTTCCATCAATATACATTCTCACAAATTATCTAGGGAACCTCGTTCTCCTGACCGGTGCGGTTGATTACCTGAGCGACGGCGAGCGCGTCATTGCCGTGGAAAACGGCCACGAACTTCTCGGCCAGGTCACGGGAGTAAGTGCACCGACCCCTTTTTTTGATCTGCAAATGCTAATGAAGGAACAGACCGGCTGTGCTGTTGGTACGGTTGCTGGATGCTTTCTGGCCGCCAATCCGAAAGACAAGCTTCTTGCCGTGCTGGCGGGTCTTCTGATGTACGAGATCGCTGCCGAGAACGCGGCGGCGAGGGAGGATGTGCGGGGGCCGGGAAGCTTTGTTCCTGCTTTCCTGGATGAGCTGTATGCCATCCGGCAGGCCGCGTCGAAGGGGGACGACAGTTGGTTTAGTGAGCGGGCGAAGGTGCGAGAGATTTCTCTGTAGATAGAGTGGTACCCAGTTGTTATGATGTGTGTAGTTATAGTACAGTATGTTCCGGCAGTTTGATATGTCTGCCCGATAAACAAGGCAGCCAATACCTCGGCCCTTCCCCGCACCGGACCCGTCCGTTTCCCCGCTCTGCATTCCAACTGCAACTGCACTGCAATCTCCTGCTGATCTTTCCTATAAATTCTCCCCAATACGTCCCTCCCTACCACTGACCACATTCTCAGCAACGTGTAAGAAGCTTATACTCTGCAAAAATGGCCACTCTCACTCGAGCCACGCGCATCCGTATGCCCTATCCTCGCCCCTCCCATTTCCACTACCGTCGAAAACATCAAACTAACCCACTACCCTGAAATCACCAGGCAATCCCGCCCTCTTGTACGTCTCACCAACCCACCCCTCAAAGCCTTGCACCACCCCCCTAAACCACTCCAACTAACAACAAACAAAGCATCTGCGACATCCAAGAAAAATTCCGCAATGTAATCCACGAATTCCCCAAAGTGTACGTCCCCATCCCCAATCCCATCCCTAGTCCCCCCGGAACCACCAACTAACAATCCCAAGAATAACAACAACCACCAAACTCCTGCGCGCGACGCAACCGCTAAACGTGCCAATCTACGTGACGACCCAAAACCGCGCCCGCCTCGGCGACACCGTCTCCGAACTGAGCCCGTACCTGCAGCCCCCACCCTCCTCCTCCACCTCCTCCCAAACCAGAGTCCTTGCCAACATCGACAAGACGCTCTTCTCGATGATCACGCCGGAGCTGGCCAGCCTGCTGCCCAACCCGCAGCAGGGCGAGACGCCCCTGGACGCGATCCTGGTGGGGATCGAGACGCACATCTGCGTGACGCAGACGACGCTGGACCTGCTGAGCCGCGGGCACCGGGTGTACGTGATCGTGGACGGGGTGAGCAGCGCGCACGCGGAGGAGCGCGGGGTGGCACTGCAGCGGTTGCGGGATGCGGGGGCGACGGTGACGACGAGCGAGGGGGTGGTGTTTGAGATGCTGGGGGATGCGGGGCATGCGGCCTTCAAGGGGGTGAGTGGGGTGGTGAAGGAGATGAAGGAGGAGACGAGGGGGGCGTTGGAGGCTTTGGCGAGGATTTAATGTTTCTTTTTAAAGGGGATTAAGGGGGTGAAGGGGGGAAGGGGAGTACTTGTTGGATGGAAGCAGAGACTGGGTTTGAGGTACTTAATAGACAGATTATACTACCAAGTACTGCACTAGGTATATGAGGATGAGAGTATGCGAGGGTCAAGGCCTTTACATTGCTTCGTTTATGGTCATTACTACTGCAGACAGACACAAAAGTGATCGGAGGGGAAATTTACGCCGTGGACCCTGCGCCCTAATCTATTTCATTTAGAGCCAGTACCGGTCGTCATGCTGCGAGGCGCAGCGGACGATTGAGACGCCGTATTGAGCCATCCAAACGCCGACGCCCCGCCAACCGGGTTGGATGCCCACGGTTTAGCAGTGTGCACGCCACCGTCGGGCGAGGTGCGGGTCGAGGTCGGCTGCACAACATCGGCCGGCGAGCTGCTGCCCGGGCCGGTGGTCATCGTCACCGTTCGAGATGGCGCCTTGCTAGGCCGTAGTACTTTCATAGTACGGCCCCGAGGAGGCTTGCCCGTCGCCGCGGAGGCATTCGGATCGCTTTTGGCATCGCGTTTCCACGAGCCCCAAACTCCGGACGCTTCCGCACGAGCCGGCCCACTCGACACGATCCCGGCAGGCTTCTCCTGTCCTTGAACTGGCACCGGATCTGCCAAGGTTTCCGGTGTCTCCGAGAAATGCGCCTTTCGACTATCCTCGGAGTCTTCCGTGAAATATTGCGTTGAGTCGCTGGTAGAAGCCGCTCGTCGAGATGTACTGACAGGGCGTCCGATGACACCCACAGGCGCATGGCCATTCATGTCCGCCGGGGTATCGACTGGGACGGGTTGTCGCTCCTTCCAGCCCGCGCGTGAAACATCCGAAGCCGTGCATAGTGACTTGAAGACAGCGTCGTCCTCGGGCCGGACAAGAGGGATGGATATCTTATTACGCTCGTCATCGACCATGATGATCTTATCTTGAGAGAACAGCACGTCGGCGTTGTGGGAGCGGAGCACATCACTGCCAAGGACAATCTGCACGGACGAGTCCCTGGGGTCGATCTCACGAACCAGGAACCGAACAGTCAAAGTAGGAACCTGGGGGGCAGGACTACTGGACCGCGAGGAGGATTGGTGCACGCTAGCTTCGGGAAGGTACATAGGGAGCTTGATGTACTGCACCTCGCCGTCCTGGACCAGCTGATCTTCCCAGCCGAATCTCCGGACCATCGGATACCCCAGTGAAGAGGTATAGGAGCCAGTGCAGATGGCCGCATACAATAGGGACTCGTTAGAAAAGTTGGTTGTCAACCAGCACCGGATGATGCACGGCACTGGCCCAAGAAGGAAAAAGCCGGGCGAGGGAATGAGTGGCGATCCTACAGCGGAAGAAGCCATCATTCTGCTGGTTGTCTCTAAGCCTAGACTATTCGTTCGAGCGGAATGGTGCGAGTGCCCCGAGGAGCTTTGTCGTCCGTCTGACCGATGCGATAGCGACCGCTCAGTCATAGGGTGGCTGCCTAGGCCACTTCCCGTCCTCAACGGCAGCTCGCTAGTTGATCGACTGGCTTGTCCATAGTAACCGTGGATGGCACTCTCGTCGAACCGAACGCTGTTGGCCCGTGAGGTCCCACGCCTAGGCTCCTCCTCGGTTTCCAGACCCATGGTATTGACCACCGTGTGATGATTTCCCTGATCGAAACCCCTGAACGCGTCGGAGGGAGTATGGAAGACCGACTCTGTAGACAGATGACATCTTAGCCAAACTCCGGAGATGAGGCATAAAGAATACACATACCCGCCGGGATTGTGCCCCCAACAGAGGTGGGAAATGGCGATAAAGGACCCCAGACGCTTCTCAGCCTTGCATCCTCGTCTCTGCGCCGCTCGAGTCTTGCTATCCGCTCTGCCTGTTCGAACTGGGCGGCGTGAAGCTCCTTAATCTCTTCGAAGACGCGCCAGATGTCGTCGCGTGAGGCAAAAGGGAACTGTGCATCCATGTCCAAGTGTGCAAACTGTGCAAAGCGGAGTGATGGGCGGCAGACCCAAGAACCTCTAACAGAATGTTGACGGCACGATTTCACCAGAACTATCACACATACAACACAGTCTTCGTATGAAGTGCCGTTATCGCCCAGTCCTCAGTGATCTGGTCAGGCCCGCTTGCTGATTCCGACGGTCCGCTGTTCCTCCAAAACTCCTCCTCCCTCGTACACTGTGAGACGGCCCTACGGCCGTCCACCCGGTCTGCTAAATGCGAATATTCGTGAAGTGATCTAGAGGCATATACAAACACTTGATGGCCGATATACGAAGGAAGTGGCTGATAAAGCGTGCCGGACGATGGACGATAAGAGTAGAGAGGAAAAGGCGGGAGGATATGCGGATGGAACGGATGAGACGTCGGAGCAGAGGTTGAGCGATGCAGCGTAGAGGACGACCACTTCACCGGTTGAGGGTCTGAAGATCGAGCAAGGAGTGTTTATGAACACGAATCTCTATCGGCAATTCCTAGAGCAGCAGAAGAGAACGCGAGATATTCCTGGCCTGAGGGGGTCTGATGAGAGGCGAGGATGGGCAGTGGGTTCTTTCTTTCCGACGGATCAAGGAAACGAAGGCGTGAGCGGGCCGATAGGAAACAGCTGAGAAAAAGGATCAATGCGAGGTTTATGGCAAGTAAGTGAGAGAGTTTGGTAAGCCGGAGTATAGTGAGATAAAAAGCGAAGGAAGGCTGGGAAGAGTGAGGAGGTTGTGAAGTGCCGTTGGATTGGAAATCATGAGGGGATCCCAATTCGACAGCCTGGAAACCAACTTGGAACCTTGACCCGCCGGCGGCAACCGCCCTCGGCTGAATCTAGACCGCTTTCATCATCGCCATTTCTTTGACCTTCCTCCAATTTATTCTTGTTGCCACAGAGTACCGTGGTGCATCATTGACATCGTTCTTTCATCTAACAGATACATGTATTGAACCACAGTGATCAAGTCTTATGACCTCTACGTTCTTAGCAACGGCAACCCAGAGCAGATGGAGATCTCTTGGTTAACCTACGTTCTGATCTATATATATACAATCCCGCACTCCACAACCGACACCAATCTTTCACCGCGGAGCCTGAGGCCAGGGAGGGAAAATCATCGGAATATTCTGCGGCAGCATATCCGGCCAGTTTGCCTCAATCGCCTTCATCAATGCATCGTACACGATGCGGTACCCTTCCCCGGTCAAATGTAGTCCATCGGTGAACAAGCGCGCGAACTTCTCGTCGTTCGGCAACTCCCTCGACCCCACCAAGGGCTGACCCTCTTTCCATCCCACCGCCGTCATGAATGCGGTCCAGACGTCCACGACCGGGATCCCCAGGGAAGCTGCGAGGTCGCGGGCGCCCTCAGCGTAGACTTTGGCGTTCTGGTTCGTGCGCGTCGGATGCGGGTTCCCCTTGCCCTTGTCGAAGAACTCCAGCTGGTATTCGTTGATTGGAGGCGGGGTAATGATGAGGATGCGCGGGTTCTGCGCGACCGTGGCGGGGTGTTGAATGATACGTTTGAGGTTTTCCTTGTACTGCTCCAAGGGGACGTACTGATTGAAAGCGGGGAGACAGGAATCATTGGCGCCGAACCAGAGGGTCTATAATCAGTGTTATCCAGGTGTTTTGTCTCGTGAAGGAGGCTTCGATCGTGGCTTACCATGAGTCGCACATTGGCCCTCTCCGGGGGAGGGATGCATTGCGATACCACTTTGATGGCGTGGCAGGTGGCATAACCGCTACAGTCCGAGCAGTGAAGGGTCAGTTTGGTTACTGGATGTAGTGCGACAGATGGGTTCTCACGCTAAGCCACGATTCACCACGTCGAAGCGGCGACTGTATGCTACAAACGAGTTAGTATAGTCGAAAGTCGAGGGTGTCTTGAGGCTTCACTCACCATGCTGCAATGCGGCGTGAAACCCGAAGCCCATATCCTGGTTGCTACCAAACTCGGTGATAGAATCGCCGAACAGAAGGATCTGATCGTACGGCTTGTAGGGTTGCTCGTGCCCATTGGCTGGGACTCCGTTCGCCATGTTGTTGTAGTACAGAAGTACCTGCAGATGAACAAAGGGGTTTGAAGATAGTTGGAACACACTCCAACGAGACGAAGCTTTTATTTCGAGCTGCTTAGTGGGGGAGGGGTTAGTAGCGCTTACGGCCAATCTAACTTGTCCATCGATAACGATAACCGATGCAGCTACTCAGCAATTTGACCAACCTGACCGACCCTTGACCGGTAGTTATACTTGCCTAATTTTGCTGTTGTACAGGTATAGACAGCTGCGTTCCTGAAATTGAGAAGATGAGTGTCCTATATATTGATCTCTTAATCGTGACAGGCACCGAAGGTTCCGGCGAGGCCACTGCTGGGATTGGGGAATGAGGGACTCTTTCCCGAAGTTTCTCCACCAACGAGCGTCCGCAGAGGTACCCGAATCCTTGGATCATCTGCGACAAAAGCACGGCACGTCTCAAGGTGCATCCATCTTTAAGGACATCAAAGCATCGGATTTGATAGGGAACATCATTGATTATATATGGCCTGTGAGATTCACAATGTGTGGATACCAATACTCGTTGATTGATTTCTACGGAATATAATCATCTCTTCGTTCATTCGTCCCAGATATCCACACTACCACCATGGTAAGCAGATTATATACAGGTCACTTGACCACCTACTTGCCTTCCATGTATACTTCAGCTCTAGAAGCCACCTTGACTGGGAGCCTAGCAATTCACTTGAACCATATATCAGGAGTAGTAGAGATCCCCCGGTAATCAGTTTAGGTATATCCTATCATTCTAAATGACAAGATATGACCGCGGCTAAGTCACTGGCGCAAGTCAGATTAATGGCGCTGGAATGTATCACATGACCTTCAGTAAGCCAGCCAGCCACCAATCGACGACAACGGAGCGGATGGTTGACTCCCCGGCTCCAGCGCATCCCTTCCGTCACTCCTCCCGTTGCATGCTCAATTTAGCTCCCATCATCCTCGATCAAGAAACCAAATTTGTTCAATGTTCCATGGCCCACGAGTAGTCATTGCAAACATGGGTACTCGGGGCTTATGGAATGTGCGTGTCGATGGTAAGCCTAGGGATGGGACAATGGCTGTGTACGAAATTGACATCCTGTATAGGGAAGTGGTACCGCGTCTTTCACAGATCAACGGCGCGTATAACTTCTCCAGACGCACCTGCTACTCTGCGAACCGTTAGAAAGGTAGTCTCGGAGACTGCCATAGAGAACTGGGAATCAATACCTTTTCCCTCACCACTCCACATCAACCTAGATTATGTATACAACATCGATAAGGACCTAGGAGTCATAATGGTAACTCAATGGACGGCCATCAGCGGTGCACTTTACCGGTTAATCCGACAGGCAAAGCTTGCTGCAATTGAAGATCCCTCACTCAGCACGCTAGATGATATTCTTGTTGATAACGAAGATATCACTAAGCAGCATCGCACACAGTATACTGAAACGGGACTAACAACATCACTAACGCTCAAGATAAACATCGCAAAGCCCACGTCTTTGACTGAGCTCCAACTTCGTTTGTTTACAGACTTCGTTTCTCTGTGGCGGTTCTATTTTGATGACCTACCGTCCTGGTCACATGACTCGCGTTTTCGAAAGACCCTTGCCATTGGCCTTCTGCGTATCGCTGCATGGGATCTCGAAATACTATCCGACACAGACACCGAAGGGATCCCAGAAGATATTATAGAAGAGATCCCAATCGGATCCTACTCTATCCCAAAGTGGTCGGCTCCGTCTGAAAACATTTTCTGGCTTCTTGGGTTTCTAGTCACTGTATCCAGTGCGTCAGACACGCTTGAGAACACCGTCCAAGATACTCAGAGATATCTGGATAAGGAACAGTGTAAAAGCCTGTTATCCATGTTATTCTAACCTCTTTAGGTTACGTTACTCTCCTCGAAATAACTGGTACAGGTGTACAGTACTCGCCGACCATACCTCTTGTCATCAACTCTTCGGCCATACAACCCTCACCTGGATTTCGAGCTCTAATTCTGTTCTATCTTTGAACCTTTAGAAAATACCCCACAGGGAAAAATGGGGGATCAACTTACCCACTGAGATTCTTGATAGAATACTCAGGGCCTTGGCGCCCAAGGACGTAATCTCGTTTGCCCGAGCATCTACCGCAGTGGATAGATGGTATTATTCATCTCTTCCTCAATTGGACAGAGTCCTTGTGCGGAGTTTTGATTTCTCGATACCATGCTGTGGAGAACGACACAACCCCAACGGAGACGGTGTCTCCTGCTCGACCTGTTATACGTGGTACCACAGCGAGTGTGCTGGTCTCAGCTCTGAATCACAAGGTAATGGATATATATGTGCAGAGTGCCACCAAAACGGAGCAAGCAAGAGTCTGGAGGCCGGGGCTATCTACAGAGCACACCGGAAGATAAGATCGAAGCCCAGCTGCAAGGTGACTGTCGACGGTGAGGTAAAAGTGCTCAACTTGCGCACGGCGAAGCCAGCGGCCCGTCGGCCTGAACGGTTCCTCTTTAGAGGCCTATCAATTCCTCCCAACGATCTCAATTACACCATCCGCTTCAATCGCGTTTTCTCCGGTCTAGCATACGGCCTTGACGAGGTATGAGATACATAATAATCTAGCGATTGCAATCCTGTATTTGGTTTAGAGGGATCAGGCCTGTAGAAGCCGAGAGAATTCCATCTCTGCTTTGTAGCTCTCCGTCCCAGCTGTTCTGTCAAAATCAACCCTGGACCCTCCTGCCCCAGGCCAGGCATTTCTCGCCTCGACAACCACAATCGCACCCCCAACCGCTTTCGTAAGTCACAAAACGGCAGCAACTGCCCAGCCTGCCCGTGGGGACCACGAGCACCAAAGCAAAGTACTGTACATGTGGGGATGCACCCAGGTCTTATAGGATCGAAGCCCGGAGACGGGGACCATGTACCCCGGCCTGTGTCGTACATCGTATCCTCCCACAAGCACCTCAACCAGACCCAGAACCCACCGTTCCACAAAGCAAGAATTAATAACTCCCCACCGAATCGAGTGTATCGACAAAGTCACCATGGATACATCCGCGGGGATCCGAACGATGCTGCTACGAGTATACTCGGACGGATTCCGCCCCACAACTCACACCCATTCATCCGAGTGAAGCTGGCGCTACTGAGTAGAAGCAGCTGTGGAGGAGTCTACCGTCCAGAACGATTGGGGAGAGCTGATGTGAGCGCTGTGGAGAGGACTGTGGGGATGAGTGGCGCTGTGGAGAGAGAGAGATGTGGACGGGTGGAAATACTGGGGGGGGAAGGACTCCCTACCTACTTGTGACACGAGGCAGAGCGGGAGGTGTGGGATTGTGGTGGCGTCCTGGGCGTTTGGCTCCACAGCGCTGCGCTGTACACTGAGGGCTATCTCGGCCGGAGAAGGGGATGGAGATGGAGCGGAGCTTGCTCCTGTTCGATTTCCTTGGGCCTCGGAGGAGATACTGAAGAGGTCGTGCTTTAGCTGGAGACGCTGTGGCCAATTCATGCATAAAAAATCCAGGAGTTGACGGGAATAAGCCCAAGTCACAAGGAAAAGCAGCACGACAACATCCTCATATTGCGGAGCGTTGCTCCAGAGACAGGGGCTACAGGATCCGAGGATCGTGTAAGCTTTGCCATGCCTCTTGGGGAGAAAGCTGGGCAGGGGGCGCCGGATTACGCATTACCTGAGGTTCGGCCGAGGATGTTCGGTCGTTACACCGTCTTTGCCAAGGTCGTAAACTCAATTTAATCACGTTCGGACGTAGATTTTTAAAGACATAGATGTTTATATCGCTGAATGCAACTGTGGAGGATAGTGCTTGTCTAGCTGTGCTTGGTGCTTAGGCTCCAAGTACTGTACAAACGTGTAGTACATGATTTCTAATCTTGGGGAGATGTGGGATGGATGCAGGGAAAGAGTCTCTTGGCTCGCTTCTGTGGAGAACCCGCGCAAACCCCACAGTCTACTGTATTGGCTCGGTCTCATGGAAGGCAATCGAAAAGAGCATTTAGCGGGTACTGGAGGCTGTCTACCAAGGAATCATGAGTGGGTTAATGTTTAGCTGCCTTAATTGGTTTCGTACTGCCACGTGGAGGACCATGGTGCTGGCGGCACTACAAAGCTGGGGTAGACTATGCAGAGTACATGGCTCTGGTAGCAGGCGATTTATGTGGTCATCCCTATTGGGTACTTTACATTGTCAAGATGCTTCCCACCTTGGATACTCGAGTAAAGATAAGCTGAAATGTAATTGAACCATAGAAACCGTAGATATCATAAACTATCTTCCTAAGCAGCCTGACGCCACTTCTTGCCATAGATCTGCACCGCAATTATAGGCAAGAAACTGACCAGGAACATCAGGGCACTTCCAACTCCTGAGCTGGCGGCGATCCCAACATTGTCAAACATGTCGGGGAACCTGCTTGATGTTAGCACATAATTCACTGGTGGAAGAGCATCGACAGTAAGCTTACCAGAATGGACCGATGAAGCCCCACATCTGACGGACAAAGGTGATGAAGACACCGACGCTGCCCGAATCCTCAGGGTAGCAGTCGACGGCGTAGGTGACCATAACAGTCGTCACCAGCTGATTGCCAAAGGCAGCAATGGCGGTGCCGACCAGAGGGGAAACAACCCAGTGGTCTGCCTTGGCTTCTTGAATAGTCACCAAGAAGACAATCACGCCGACAATTGTCAAAATGACACCGGGGTAGCCGAGCCAGAGACGATACTCGGGCTCAGGCCGGTGTTGAGTCTTGCGTGCCCGGCGGCTCATCCAGATATCAGACATGGTGCCACCAATCTGTTCACCCAGAACGGTACCGATAATAACGCCGATGAATTGAAGGCCGAGTTGTTCGGCGTTGAGTCCGAACTTGACTTGCACGAGCTGGGGAACTTCCACCGTGATCATGACACTGCCGAACAAGAAAACCATGGCGTACGCGCATGCGGGAATCATCACACTGGGTCGTTTGGCCATGGACAGAGGATGAAGGAACTCGCGGAACGTCAGGGGAGTCGGGTCAATCCGCCGGAAAGAAAGGTACTGCGCTTTGAAGTCGGAGATACCCTCTGCACTGCCGCCGAGGTATCGGGTTTCAGGGCCGAAGAAGAGGTACAAGACGAATTGGACGCCGTTGACAATAGCCAGAACCCAGAACATCCACCGCCAACCGACTCTGTATGTAATGAATCCGTAAATCAATGGTCCTGGAAGGCACTGTTAGAAATGAAATCTCAATCGGTCGCGGAGAGAAGACTTACCAACTGGAACACCGAGCGTCACCATCAAGGTCCAGACACCAAGGTATCGGCCGCGTTCCTTCTTGAAGAATGTCTCGGTAACGACGGCACTTCCGATCGCCGCTGCAGGAGAAATAAAGAAGGCCGTAAGGGCTCTGCATGCAGCCAAAGATGCGTAGTCAGGACTTTTCGCACAGCCGATATTGCATACCAGACTGCAAATGAGTGATAGAAGGAAGATTGGTCGGCGTCCGTAGCGGTTGGACAAGGGCTTCCAGAATAAAGGTGCACCTCCCAGAATAGCAATCTGTAATGAGGTAAGGTAACTCGCTCTTTGCATTGATACTCCGAAGTCTTCTGCAATACTGGAGTAGGCGGGGATGATGGACGCTGTGAAAGTAGCCATGCAGGCATGGAAGGCAACGAGGATCAGGTTGGACAATTTCTATGAGAAGCAGCTGCTTAGTATGCTATACCGTCGGGGAAGATGCAAGCAGTGCTTACCTTCCACAGGGGCCAGTTGTATGGATCCGCGGCCGACGGACTGGGGATCGGATCCAGATCTAGAGTTCCATGGCGCTGGATAAGATAGTCTTTGTGTGATTGTGACAGGGAAGCGGCGGCAATCTCAGCATAGGAAGAGGGACCCTCTTCAACTTTCTCAAAGTATTCGCTGCTATCTTTCTCGATTTTCGTTTCTTCGTGGGTCTTGGGCGAGGAAGAAGGACGGACGTCCTCCGTCATTTCGATGGAGGGCATAACTCCTCTTCTTGAGCGGAAGTTATCGGTTGATTGAGGTTGTGATGCTGGTAAGACTAGTCCTGACAGGGACCACGACTGTTGGGCGACTTGTCAAGAGATTTCTTGAGGAAAGAGAGTGGAAGGGGTGTAAAGAACTGGACCCCAGATAAGGGCCGTCCAGGTTTATAAGCGAAACGGCCATTGCTCACGGTCCTTCTCCGCATATTCCGCAGCTAGAGCCAAGTTGAACAAGCGCTAACTGACTTGACGGGCAATGCATCTAGATTGTAGAGTTGAGCGAGGTCCGGGGTTTGCGTACGTATGTCTGGGGGTGGGCCATCAGCGAGTGAGAGGAGGCGATAGCTGGACACGAGGTGTGGAGAGGAGCGTGGGGATGGGTGAGATCCCCACAAACAGCATTCTCAACCCCTCGCTTGCCCAATCAATGTGATGTGGAAGGTGGCGATGGCTGAAGCGAACAGAAAAGACGGAATTAAGCGTGCTGGAGGAGTGACTCGCCCGGTGTCGGATCTTGCCCTTTTAGTCAATCTGCCCCGGACGACCGGGCGGTTTGACCCACTTCGGTCTTCCCTTCCTCAAAACCCCGGATCTGTGGGGAAGGCCTCAACTGCCCTCTCCTCCTCACCAACTGCACTGGTCGCTTCGAAAATAGTCCAGGCAATGAGACAGCAGAAAGAACTTCACACCAACTTGAAGAGCGAGATGTCAGCTTCCATGGCCTTCAAGCATTTGTGAACGTTGCGGCCGTTGCAGCTCTTTGCATTCTATCTCCGAAGTGCTAAGCGTCGCATTCTCCGGTCCCCACAAAGCTTGACGGAAACGTGATTCGCAGCAGCGGAATTTTCCCAACAGGAGTCAGGGCGTGTGATTGCGAAGGAATGTGGCGCTTAGCTTCTTGAGGCACCGGTCAAGACAAGCCCAGCTGACGTCTGCAACGAGATAGTCGGTGGCAATGTGAGTCCCATTCCTGTGGCCTCCCCCCACACAGCACCTAGTCGAGCAGCTCTTAGCTCAGCTGCATCTAGAGACGTAAGCAGGGTCTGTCTGTGTTAATTGCTGGTTCAATCTGATTATAAATGATAAGCAAACAACAAACTAAGACTAATCAATGCCGGTCTAGTGCACTCCATGAGCGGTCGGACCCCCTTCTTGACTCCGGTTCATCTGCTTGCACCACACCTGTCAGTATGATAGCAGATTGCTTCATGTGAAAAACTCTCAGTGAGATGTATAAGGGAATCGTGCAGCCTGTGGGTCACTTTTCCGACCGCCCGTACCGCGCGATTGATAAGGACCAGGTCGGGTAAGATGCTGGAACAATCCGATCGAGAGCTGGAACACAGTACGGTAGCGTAGCTCCAACCCGTGATAAGCTGACGGATCCCGCTCTTACGCTATTGTCAAGCAAATTCTGTAAGGACTATTCACCACCCGACCGCCTTCTTGCACCAACACACGGCAGACATGGGGGCGCACTACTGCCCGCAGGAGTCTACTAATGAGTATCTTACGGAGTCAAAGTGTATATTGCGCAATCCACAGCATATTCGTTGAGTTTGTTTTGAATGAATGTGGTATACTGACACTTCCTGTTGGCAAGTATATGTACGAACGAGTGGTGGTAGAAACATTCGCAACAAGTTACGCCCTGTTTGGCCAAGGAGAAACAGAACCCCTTAATGTGCTCCAGAAACAGCTACAGTTCATTTCTTCACTCCAGCAACAATCTCACAACAATCTTGCTAACCGAGTCTGTACTAGACACGACGGTTGTCAAACGTTTGCAGTCGCCGCTCAAGCCGTGGTTGTCACTGCCGTGCCCGAGGCGGTAATAATGGAGCTCGACTGAACGAGGGAGACGGCCTGGGGGATCAGGGTCGGGCCAGGGACAACATAGGTGGAGAGCGACTGGTAGATATTGAAAAGAATCCCAGCGTCTGTGGGTTTGTACAGCTCCGTGCCCAGGACTCCGGAAGGCTGGACCGTGCCGGTTCCAGTAACCTGAAGGTTGAAACACTGCATGTAATTCTGGGCTCCATTCTCACTTCCAGCTCCATGCAGAGCAATCAACTCGTGACGCAGCACATAGTATCCTGGCGCGATACTTGCCGGAATCTCCACCAGCCAGGAGTTGTTGTTGGCGATGAGCTCATCGTCTCCCCAAATACCAGGAGGATTGCTCTCATCCACCAAGCCAACACCATCGATCTTGAAGAACTCGAGGGTGGTCTTATCGACTGTCTCGCAGCTGGAGCCACAGTTGGCTAGGTAGCTGATGACGGGACCATGGTGGCTGTCAGGCCAGGTCGTCCATTGGAGGCTGATCTTGTCTCCAGCAGCAACGACTGCATGGCCTCTGGCATTCGTGGCGCTCAGATGACAAATCACATCATCTGTGTCGTATGCATCAGGGGAGATGAAGCCGTTAGCTGTGTTGGGTGTTTGCCATGCAACCACCACCGGAGGGTTGGAGTTGTAAGGGTCCGAATTGATGTCCCATCCACGGTAGGACACCCCGTTGATAACGATGTTTGACACATGACCATGAGCAGCTACGCTGGTAGCAGCTGAAAGAAAAGAGAGGAGTTTGACAAGCATGTTGATGTAGTTTTTCATCGGATCAATGCTGACACGAGCTTGTTATAGAGTCTGTCGATTCAACTGTCTTCACCAGGACGAGTACGACCTTTATATCTTCATCTCCCTCGGGTCTTCCACTACATTCTTTCATCTCTTCCAGAATCCGATTCACGGAGCTTTCCCCTTAAAGAGTCCGCGGCGTGCGACCTATAGAGCCAAGAGCTACGTGTATCCCGCTGACTGAGAACCAAGGACGGGATCGTGTGCTCGAGCATACGGGCGAGGAGAGATACTTCAGCAAGAAAGACTTCAAAGATTTGTCTTGCGACTCCAGAGCCAAGGCCTTGGAATACCATCTCCGCTCGTGAATGGTAGGGTTGTGTGGCCAGCCAAGAGAAAAGCCGGGGTAACTGACGCAAGAATGTGGAGCATTTTCACGTTGACGAGCTCGGTGCAGGTCTGAAGACGTGGCTGGGTCCTTGTCGGCTGCTCTTCAAGACTGAGGTGCTCATCAGAACTAAGCTTGATTCCCCACGGGGGGGGGGGGGGGGGTGGTCGCTCGGTCGTATGGCGCTCCGGCCAAGACAGATCTCCGGTCCGCTTCGAGAATGGAAACCTCCGCCGTATACATTTGTGCCATTATGGTTATACTGAAAGGAATGATCTAGTCTTACCATGACGAGCATCTCTTCTCTGTGGTTTGAAGTCCGCAAAAGGTACGAAGGACTGCACGAAAAAGAGCAAGCGTTGGCCTCCGCACCAGCACTTATCAACCACTCACGACAAACAAATCGGCGAGAAGAAGTACTGTATGCACTGAGATATACATATAAATGTACCTGCAGATCACTTTCCCCGCGCATGGCTAAATTACCGGACGGGCTTCGAATTAACCATGGACGACGGATAAGCGGGATTGCCTCCGACGGCGGACAGGGCCCAAGGGCTTGGCTGCACCGAGAGGGAGAGTCATCTGCACATTTGCCGTGAAGAGATGGCATGTCGGTTGGGTGCGTTGATTTTCAATAGGTTCTGCATCTGAATTTGTAAGACTTGTCCGGTGCATGCTTTTTTTGAGTGGGGCATCAATGAGGGTCCGTCGACGTTCATCTGCCTGGCTGAGTGCGGACCGAGCCGAGTACTGTACGCACTTCCCAGTAGCCACGGTAAGCAATATAAAACCAAAGAAAAGACATAACATACATCAGCATAAGTAACAGCGGTCACCAATCGCCCTTTCGCAGAAAATCTGTCAGCATGTTGCTGAGTCACCAACCCGTTCTTCCGTTTTCCCCGATCCTAGATCATCTAGATATAAGCTAAAATGATGCTTATTTTAGTGTGAATAGGTTCCTTGTCAACATGGTCCTCTGACCCCCTTCATGATACCAGTACCATTAGGGCTATGAGGACTTCCAATGTTGTTAGTCGCTAATTATGCTTACGAGAACTGTTCTCCTTCAAGCTTTTCTTGTACGATCTGCAGCCTTGAGCTGGGAGACTTATGTTCCTACTGAGATTTTTGGTTACTTTTCTTTCTACTATACCCTCATCTTATTGACTCCTGGTTGACCGCCCAAAAGTGAATCTCCGTTTTAGCTGTTGATTCGCAGCACCCACTCCCCGCGGGGTCGGTTCCACGGGCACATACAATTTCTCATCATTCTCGAAATACTCATCTATATCGAGCACGCGGGTGGTACTCGTGATCAGCAATTTGTACAGCGCTCCTCCCGCCCCGAGCAGCTTGACGAGCTTCTTAACCAAGCGCTTCGTCTCCCAGCCGAATTCGCGCGTCTCGTAGTAATTGATCCCGTCGAGGATTAGAAAGACCGGCTGCCGGCGCGGGAGGGCTTTGATCAGTTTGCGCAAGACCGAGACGAGAAAGACCGGCGTCAGGTTCGAGACCGCGCCCCGGAACGCCTGGGCGTCGTCGACGCCGAGACATTCGAGTTCGCCGAACGTTCACTGCCGCAGGAGCTGATGCAGAAGCACGGCCGTCACGATGGAGCCCGCGGACCCGACGTCGCGGTGGTCGGACGGCGGGTGCAACCCGCAGAAGTGGTGCAAGACGACGATGGGCCCGAGGCTCCGCAGGCTCTCGATCAGCAGCGCGCAGAAGAAGGAAAGGGGGCTGATCCGTTGCAGGGCGCAGTTTCCGTGGACGACGAGCGCGCGCGAGTGCCGGGATTTGAACCACCCGAAGACCTTAGGGTCGGAGATCGTCCAGCTCGTCCGTTGCTGGTCCGGTCCTGCCATGGAAAAGCCGGCTTGGAGCACTCGCTGCAGGGGCCCGTGGGTCGTTGCATCGCTATCATCTCTAGACGGCAGGACCGAAGGGAATGCCGCTTCCAGGGCTTGGATGATTTCCCCGGGAGTTATGTACGCTCGGGGCTTGGTAGACTCCGCCTTGTACTGGGAGATTTGCATCAGGTATTCCTGGATCCCTGTGCGTTGTGGTGAGTCGATTCCATCTCTGGAGAGTTGTCACTTCGCGAGGGAGTTAGGGCATACATTTGGTCTTGATCGACTGCTGTGTGAAAAACTCTATAAGCAGGGCTTTGATCTCAGCAACGGTCGTCTGCGTTCCTCCCACCCGGTCCGCGATCTGGAGCAGTCGATTCCGATCGCAGAATTGAATTGTGCGCTCGACAGTGTCTGACGCCTTCTTCACATCGTCGAGCTCGGCTTGGAGGGGTCGGTATGTGCGCTGAAAGAAGAGAGGTTTCAGGAACTCGACTGCAATGGTTAGCATACAGTCGGGAGGGGCGCGCGCGGCGACAAGGGCGTACGTACATGAACGGTCCTTGGTCCAGAAAGCGATGATAGCTTCCATGGCGGTCAATATCTTGAGGTAAAGTTGACAGGTAGCGGTTTGGAGGATTGGCTCTGAGCTGTACAGCTCGGCATACTGGCTTGCACTCTCCACCTTTTCGGGCAATGACTCGACCAGGGCGATTATCTCCTGCCGCGATCGATTCGCCGCCGAACAAGCCTGTCGAATGAGTGATTAGATTCTGGGTGTTCTCATGGTGTTGCTATCACAATTCATGCTTGCCCATACTCACACCTAAAATGAACTTGATCCCCCCGCAGACAACGGAGGTATAGTCCGTATCTGGGATCAGATTTAGGAAGGGTTCCACTGCCTCCGCCCTGCTTGCCCCCTTTCGGAAGAGCCTTCGGAACTTGCTCGAGGTGCTGTAGTGATCCTCTGCTTCTCGAAGTGAGGCGAAGACGTCCTGCCAGCTGTGCATCTGAGTGATGTTGGCCCGCACTTTCGCCGCGACCGATTCCTTTTTCCCCTTCCGTTGCATACTCATGTTGCTTTTCTCTTTGTCGTGCTCCGCATCCCAGGCCTCGAGGAGTTTGATAAACTTGACCTTGGCTTTCTCAGCCTGCTGGCGACTCTTTCTGTGAGAACAAAAGTCAATTCTACCCAAAACGTCACGCCCAAAGTTGAAAGGACAAGAACAAACTCAGCCTCATCTTTGTCTTGGGACTCCGGTTGCGCTCGATTTGCATCCGCATGATTCGTGGTTCGAGCTGCTGCGTGAGAGAGAAGACTTGACCATATCCGCTCAGCAAGATCTCTGGGAGTTCGGGGAGATAATCGCCAGGAGGCCAGTCATGCGTGGCCATCGTGCTTCTCGCTCGTGAGGCAGAGAGATGATGCTTCCGAAGTCGGTCGTATTGTTGTCCTTCAGGAAGATCAAGGAGAGAATTGAGAACAAATCATGACTGCAACCCTAGAATGCAGTAGTTCTTGAGTTCGTTCTCAGTTCGTTCTGTGAAAGCCGCAGGATGATGAGGAGGTGTCTCCACCAGAATGTTGTGTCGACCAGGGGTGTGCAGGAGCTGAAAGTCCACAAGATAATCTGATTGGGCCGAGGCGCAATGCGGCCTTTTCTAGCGTCGGTGATAGTGATGAGTCTACAATAAGCGAAGCAAACATGGCAACCTCAGCCCCTCCTCTCACTCGAGGGGTACTTTTGGTCGGCGAGGCGAGCAATGATGCTTTTCTCCCAGATCCAGCCTCTTTCCCCTCCAACACCCCCAAAGGCTCTCAAACTCAGTTATTGGCAAATCCATTCAATAAACCCCATTCACACGGCGCCATGGCAACTTCTACACAATTATCCACGTCTCCTATCGCTCAACACAGTGACCTGGAGTCTCAGAACTTAGTTCTCGAAACGAGAGAAGGCGAGCAGTCCGCCATTGGTGTTGTATCTGATCAGCAACCAGCTCAACCAGAGGATGGCGTACCAGTTGACGCCAACAGCGAAGCTCTACATGGAGCGATAAAGCCTGACCTTTCCGCGGAGACTTTTTCTGAAGAAGTCCTCGATGCGATAAAGAAGTTACATAAGGGCTGGGATGACTACGTGAAGCACGATATGAACGGCAAGTCTCTTTCGCACGATAATATAACCTATTCGACACGTATTCTGCGTCTATATGAGAGATCAATGTCGCTGGGGTCAAGAGTTGCACAAAGTGACTTCTTGTCGTTCATGATTCAGTCATATTTCCGGCTGGTGGATGACCGGTAAGCGCTCTCCTCCATCCTCCAACGTGTGGACGAATCTCACCCACCGGATCTGGCATACAGTTTATTCGCACTCGAAAGGGGTATTGCAACCCAAAAAGGCAGTCCAAATGCAGGCGAAGAAGAAATGTGTCAAAAGACTGACAAGGGTGACGAAGCCGAAAGAGCCTTCTCCGAGGCCACGATCCCAAACAAGAACCCGGTCCTGTGGCGGGACTTTAAACGAAAGGAGGAACAGGAGAAGATTAGCAATGTTCATGCCATCGACGTCCTCATAGGCGAGGTGGTCATTCCACATAATATCTGGCCGAATTTCCATGCAAGAAACACCCTTTGTCTGTAAGACATACGCCGGTCCTGGTTCTTGCGAGATATGATGCGCTTTCAAGACGATAACGAAACTCCGAAGGATGCTCCGATTACAGCAAACGCGTCGCAACTGGCCGCGGGGGATTATACGTCAATGCCGGATCGGATCCGCATCAACGGAACGTCCCTACAGAAACTACTGGAGAAGGTTCTGGATTTAGAGCTCTATAAGGAGGGCTCACCGATTGTCTTGCTCAAACCATATAAGATTCTTGCACAGCATGAAAAGACAATCCGTGGTGTCCACGCTCAGTTGCGAAGGAAATTTGGGCCGACCCCCACCGGGAGAACCGTCCCCGACCTCGACTTCGAGCCAGAATCCCGGCAGCTCTCATCGGTTTCACCAAGGCGGGAGCTCTCGCGACGAGGAAGAAGAGAGGATGTTGGAAGAATGCGGTTCGGAGCAAGCCTACAAAGAGTTGTCTTGTTTGATCGACGTTATGGACCACGAACCGGCTCCTCTCAAGGCACTGGAGAAGGGCTCCGTGGAGAGAATCTTCTACTCAGACCTCTGGCATATCTTTAATCCTGGACAAGTAGTGATAACCAGACAAGAGCCTCTTCATGCCTATCGGGTGCTTTATGTCACTGCCGGTCGCCCATACTTATCGCCCCCTGCATTGGAAGGTGATGATTCCGGGGATGGGTACAAAGTCCCAGCCAAAGAGAGTGACCTTCTTGTCCACTGCTACCAGATTCAGTTCGATGGGCAAAGGTTTGGCCCGGTCACTCATACCTTCAACATCCAACCATATTCTGGGCGGCTCCGAGTTAAGGACCTGCCCATTTATCCCCTCCAATTCGTCGAAGACCCAAAGGTCCTCAAGGAAACTCTGGTATCTAGTGGTCGGAAATTCTTGAGGGTTTCAAAAGGCACGCATCTGCAATACAGCGGACCGAATCTGCATGAGGGAGAAGAACTTGACAGCGAAGTCATTGTGGATTTTCAGACTGCGATCTGGGACAACCGGGATGAAGATCCAATTGGAATTATAAAGTAGAGTTCGGTGTCAATCCACCCAAGGGATCCAATCCAGCCGAAGTTACTTTGGTGTCCGCTGGAGGGTGTTGCCAAGTGGATTGTTGCGAAAATGACCGTGTATACAACGATCTCGACATCGACCATCGCAGGATAAAGGATTTCATAGCCCAGAATAAATTGCTGACCACGGACACTCGCTATCTCGATGACAACCCGGAAAACGTGCCAGAGGAGGATCTTATCCTTTTCCCCAACCGAGTCTTCGCATTTGTGCTCAAAGATCGAAAATGGGGTAAGTACATGGACATGCACACTTGATACATAAAAAGCGTCTGCTGCATTTGTCCTGGAGCTAACGCTGGTATAGCGGTGATTGATCTCAACTACGTTGACCTCGATGCTGGCGCCGACAAACCGAAGGATCGTGGATGGAACTCGTTGGTGTTGCCCCTTGGTCACAAAAAGATGGTTCAATCGCTTGTCCAAGCGCATTTCCGTCATCGTCGTGAGGAAGCACTGGATCGGAACTCACAGGCGGATCTTATCCGAGGGAAGAGTGCGCTTCAAGAACTCTATAGCGTCCTTGAAACGAGCTAATCTTCCGAGTGGCAGGCAAGGGACTTATCATTCTCCTCCATGGTGCACCAGGAGTGGGGAAAACGTCAACTGCTGGTAAGGATTGATTGAGAGAACCACCCAGTAAGAAGACACTGACCGGCCTGTAGAATGTGTCGCTGAGCTTTGTAACCTGCCACTGTACCTCATCACCTGTGGTGACCTGGGAATCACAGCCACCGACGTGGAATCTCGCCTGAAGTATATATTCACTCAAGCGCAGAAGTGGAAATGTGTTCTCCTATTAGACGAGGTGAGTTGCTTAACACAAGTCGAATAAATGCTCTGGGGCGTCGGAACTGATACCCGACACCAGGCCGATGTCTTCCTGAGCCAGAGAGAGACCAATGTGAAGCACAATAGCCTGGTTTCGGTCTTCCTACGCGTTCTCGATTATTACCAGGGTATCCTCTTTCTCACCACGAATCGAGTCGGCAAGATCGACGAGGCCTTCCGGTCCCGCGTCCACATCAGTCTCTACTACCCCCCGCTCGACAAGAGCTCCACGCAGAAGATCTTCACCGAGAACATGAACCTGGCCGAGAAGCGTGGCAAGAGCGTGATCCGGGTCAACCGGGACGAGATCCGCGACTTCGCCCGGGAGCACTACCGGAGCAACGACCCGCAGCGCCGCTGGAACGGCCGCCAGATCTGCAATGCCTTCCACATCGCCATCGCCATCGCTGAGGACCGGGCCGCCGAGAAAAATGCCAAGGCCGCCGCGGAGGGCAAGGAGCGGAGGCATACCCCGGTCCTCAAGGCCGAATACTTGAGGATGGTCGAAGCGGCCTCCACGCGGTTCGACGACTACCTGCACACCGTCCACGGTATGGGCCAGCAGGACCTCGCGAAGCAGGGCTCAGCCCGCAGGGATGACTGGGAGGAAGACCGCGACCGACGAGACAATCGGAAGTATCAATCCAGTCGTGCAGCCGACTCCCGGCGGCGAAAGGTAGAGGAATCCTCAGAGACTTCGATGACGGAATCCAGCGAGGCAGAGAGCCATAAGCATACTTCGTCAGAGAAGGATAGCGATGATGACTCACAGGGCGGGAGAAAAGAGGAAGTGGAGCCTTCCAGCTCAGATGAAGAACCCTCGTTGCGAGAGTCGCGAAAGCGCTCAGATCGAAAGAAGGGTTCGCAGACCAAAGAACGTAAGAATGAGCCAGGGGAGACCCGAAAGAATGGTACGCGATCTTCGAGAAAGAATAGAGACAGTCGCTAGATGACTGTTTCGGTAGTTGATCTAGAAGGAATGGATATGAAGACCTATCCAGACGCTAGTCCTATACCTTACATATAGACTTCGGTACAGATTATATCAAGTATCTTAGAGATAGGACACTCGAGCCGAAATGCTCTTTTTGGAATAGACATGCTGGCCAGGGTAGTTAGAAGTTATAAGCCACCCTCCCTGAGCTTTCGGAAATCCAAACGAGAGGCAAAAACATACAACAGAAGGCAATCGCTGGTGGTCACCCACCAACTATTCACCTCCCGGCATGTAGCTTCAATACAGTGAAGGCAGGTGGATACTGTGTAGATGAGTGTGGGCTAGATAGAGTAACCTGATAACCCAATCTTGGTTCTGATCTCGATTAGGGCTAACCATCAGCCCACCATAGAGCATCATAACTCATGCATCTTCAGAACAGTTATCCTTTACTATCAAACAGAGTGTTGTTGACGCATAGATCACTGTATAAATGATTGTAATATGTGAGTGGTGCATAGCGCCAACAGTATCCTCAATACTACTGCTTTCTTCTTCTCCCCCCCTCAAACCCCACTGACTAGTGATCATCCAATAACTTACCCCCATCACCAGTGCCGCCAGCACCATTACTTGTACCATCGTCCGCCTCGCAGATATTCAAAAAGCCGAGGCCGAACTACGCTGATGAGCAAGTAGCTTTTGCTGAAATGGGGTTTGTTCTTTGGAAACCACTTACCGATACGCACTGCACTGCAAGTACCACTCCCTACTGAAAAGCGTTAGTTCCTTCGATTCTTCTGATCGCTGGTATAGCATCCGGAGCCTCTTACGGGCGGTACTGTACAGCCAACAACAATCGTAACTTGGGATCCCAAGATCCTAGTCGGGACCACGCGCGGACAGCATTTTGCAGCCTGGCCAGATTAACAGCCGGGCTAGAACGAATCCAAAACGACACACGGTTAGAATCTGGGGGGTAGGCTCATATTCGTGGTCTGCGTGAGATATTGAGACACCCCCATTACTGGAATTTCGGACGGATGCATAAAGGGGAATGATTGATGATGTTTGGCCTCGCGGTCTGCTTGACTAAAGTACAGGGTGTACTACCCCCGCTCGTAGGTTGGCTTGGTATTTTCGGACTACTTAACACCTCCCATCCGACTATTCCACAAGAAGAGACACTATTCGCTATACTAAACGCTGCTGCACTCCGAAATACCCACCTGCATGTGAAAGATTTGGAACGCTAACGGGAACCAAGGCCCTCCATCATGTAATCAACTGTACTATACCTCATCAATGTATCCCAGTCACTCACTGCACTCAACCTTATCCCCTCCCCCTCCCCTCCACAACCCCAACCACTCCTCCACAATCCCACAATAATCCTCAGGCCCATAACTCTCGAACCACTCGCGCAGCACCCCGTCCTTCCTTCTGACCCGCAGGCCCAGATCCTTCAAGAGCAGATCCACATACGGCAGGCCCTCGTAGAAGGCGATCGGGAACCGGTGCCCGAAGCTCCCCGGGTACCGCCACTGCGAGAACTGCGAGTGCAGCAGCGTGTCCCGCCAGATCTGGTCGGCGGTGGCTCGGCCTACTGGTAAGGATGTGGTGGGGTTGTCTGAGCGGTTGTCATCGTCACCACCACCACTACTGCTGAAATACGCCGTGAGCCAGAGGGCTTGCGTCTGCGCGCACACGGCGTTGAGGGTTGTTGCTACGAAGCCGGCGAAGCCGATGCTGCGGTCGTTGATGAAGGCCGGGGGCACCATGAAGCGGTAGAGGCGCCAGGGGGCGTCGTCGCGGTGGGGCACCTTTGTGTCTGCTGCCGCGGCGGCGGCGGCGGCGGCGGCGGCGGCAGCAGCAGCAGCAGCAGCAGCGACAGCTTCTTTATCCATGATACCGTTGTTCAGGAACTGGAATTGGAGGAGGATCTCGCGATCGATGCGCTCAGCCTGCGGGTTGCGCGCGCCCTGGGTGCGGGGGAAGCCCATTTGCTCGTGGACCTCGGCGGGCAGGAACTTGATGGTCGGCCAGTGCTGCCAGCCCCCGGAGACGATTAGGGCGTCGACGTCGAGGGAGGGGCCGTCATGCAAGTAAACAGAGCCCGGAGCAGCGAGGTGGTCGATGTCGGCCGTGTGGATCTGGATCATGCCGCTGTCGATGTACTGGAAGAAGTCGGGCGGGTAGTTGCGGGCGCTGAAGCCGCCGGCCGGGGTGAACGGCTTGATGGCCTGGGGTTGCAGCTTGCGGGTCTCGGCGCTGCGGACGAGGGCCGGGTCCTGCAGGCACGTGGTGCTGAACCAGGTCCAGAGGTGTCGCGAGATCCACTGGCCCATCGTCGTGCCCTGCAGAAAGCGCGGCATCCAGCCGCCGCCGTTGCCGTCCGGGTCGCCCCAAGGGCAGGGACTCAGCCAGGTCATGCACCGCGTGGTCACGATCTTCTCCATCCAGAGGCGGAAGGGCGTGGCTTGTGCCGGTAAAAGGCGCGCGGGCCCGTGGCCGGACTTGCGCAGGATCCAGTGCACCCGGGTGCCTAGGGAGGCGAACTGGTAGGCGGCGTCCCAGGCGGATTTGGAGCCTCCCACGACTGCCACAGCTTTTGCGGTGTTGTATAGCTCGTGGTGACTGGCGAGGTCTCTGCAGTGGAGTAGTGGACGCTCGAAGGATGAGGCGCCAGGGTATTGGGGCATAACAGGCTCGGAGGCCAGGCCTGTTGCGACGATCAGACGATGTGTGTTGATCGTGATGGGTTGCTTGTCTTGAATGGCTGAGATGGACCACGACCCGTCGGAACATTTCTCCACGGTTTCAACACGGCATGAGAGACGGATACGGCGGTGGAGATCGTACTGGGTTGCGAAGGCCTCGAAGTACTTGTACACCACCTCACCTGGTACATGCTGGTGCCACTTCACACCGAAGCGTGCCTCAGACATGGGAAAGTCGCTGTACGCATAGCTGCCCGCGATACTGTTTGTCTTGACGCCGCGGCACAGCCTATCCCGGCCCCACACTCCTCCCACAGAACGACTCGCTTCAAGAATCTCCACGGTAGCAGCGGGATTGACATCTAGATACGTTTTCGCGGCCATCAGGCCATACAGACCTGATGCATATCACGACAGCTGATTAGTGGAACACATTCTCCTCGGTGACAATGTGCGGCTTACCGGCGCCAATGACCACCATATCGTTCATTTCTGCCATAATTACTGTAGATGCGAGATGTATCAGTATCGATAAGCTTGCTTCTGGGAACACTGGGCTTATCGTACAAGCTCGTCGCTTCTTATCCCTCCCAGCAGAAGTGCTTCGTTGCTCCTATCCTCAATTCATCATACACTATTCAAACAGATACTTCATGGAAATCAAATTTCATGCCGAGTAAATCAAGTTAAATCAGGTTATTGCCTGCGCGGATCCGGTTCTCGACGTTTCATACTTCTCAGCCGACGAATAAGGTCAAACTTTCCACAGATCATGGTGTATTTAGCTCTGAATGATACTTCGGAATCCAGCGGATGAAGTCACAATGGCGACATCAGTGAATTGTCGTGTATATTTTCACGAAACCTGATACTTGGTATCATAAGGAGAGTAGACAGACCAGAAGAGTAGGGCTTTGAAAGGACTCATTCTTGTCACGAGGAGACGAGGCATAGTCGAAATCGCAGGAGGCGACCCGCGCCAAGTCTCAAAGCCCATGGCTAGTACAATTGATTGACTTTGAGCCTGACTGTGGAGCATTTCCCAATGCAGGAATCGCACATTGTGAACTGAATCATGATACCGGATTCATGGGGTGGCCAGAAACCCTGACTGCGAGTCCGTGCGTGCCCAGTTCACGGGGAATGGTGCTCTCAACCAAGAAAGCAGACCCCGAGCCTAGGCCACAGTCAAAGCGCGAGATCTACAGATCTCTTCAGGATTGGCAAGTTCGCATCACGGATTAAGACTCCGCCAACGAGCTCGGTGGCCGTTAAAGAGAGTTTCCTCACGACTTGAGCCGCCTATGAACACTCACGATTAGCGACCACTCGACAGCCGAAACAGTTTCCTCACAGTAGCACCATGCACTATGACAGCACGTTCGTCAGAACCTTGAACCTCTTCCCTTCGATGATAAACTTTATCACACACCATGAACGGTTCGAGATGTAAACATGGCGCCAGTTGACTCGGCGTGGCCTGTGCCCAGTTTGCGGGACTCTAATGTTGTCAACTTTGGCAGAGGCAACTCACTCCACTTGGCAAGTCTTTCATCTTTTTGAAAGAAATGCTTCTTACGCTGCAGATAGCTTTTCTTCCAGAAAAACGTTGGTCGAGCTGCACGTGCGATGTCAGGGTTTTCTGGGCCAAGATTTCTGCCCAATGCAGTTTCCACTCCCTCCCCGCGGTAGCGGCTAAAGTCGCCTTCTGCAGGCCGGCATGCAGAGCGACCAAAGCGTCTGGAAATCGGAAAGAAACCTATCTGGCTGGGTTCTGAACCCGGTTGTCGATCAGCTAGCGGCCTTGTTCGCGATACGTTGAATCGCGATGAATATGGCTATAAAGGGACCAGGCGCATAGAGGAGGCACTGCTGATGGAGTAGACCTGCTGCAAGATATTCGCTGAGTTTTGCATCTGATTTCCAAATCCAATCGTCGCAATGTCCCATATGACAGGCCTATTTGTTCTTTTCCCCGCCCTTCTAAGTCTTTACTTGGTTGTAGCTCTAGCGGGACGCTGGCGCAACAGGCCCCCTCTTCCACCTGGACCTAGGAGCGTGATTCCCTGGATTGGAAATCTCGATGCTCTACCAAAAGGTGGTCAGAAGGAGTACCTTCACTGGCTGCGCCATTGTGATCTATACGGTGAGTATACAGCCTAACCAAGATAGCCGTGAAAGGTTTATGCCGTGCGGAATTGACATGCCAGCAAAGGCCCAATTAGCTCCGTCACAGTCATGGGTCGAACCTTTGTGATATTGAACGATGTTAGTTTGGCCTTTGAGATGCTCGAAAAGCGTGGGGCCATCTATTCTTCCAGGCCACGGCAGGTGTTTTGTGGTGACATGTATTTCCCCTTCTCCGTGGCATATGCACGGCAAAGTGAGCAAATGACCAAACTCTATCAGGATTGGATGGAGCCAATCCGTCGCTCTGTCAACTTACTCGGAACGGCTGCGCATTCATAGGAAGAATACGATGTGTGTGCTTGGTTCGCCAGCCGCAGCGGCTCGATTTGAACCATTGCAGGAGAAAGAAGCCGCTCATTTTCTCGCCCGGGTACTGGAAAATCCCGATGACTTGGTAGAACATATCCGAAGGTTCGTCATCCTGCATGAGCATCTTGCATACAGAAATGAGCTGACAAGAATTTTTGTCCAAGCGAAGCAGGATCATTCATTCTCAACCTGGTTTACGGATACAAGACGAACAAACAAGGTTCGGATCCTCTAGTTGAGTTAGCGCATAAGGTAATGGAGGAGTTTGCACAGGCTTCTCTTCCCGGGGAGTACTTGGTGGATCTAGTGCCATGTTGTATGTACTCCTTCTTCTTTCGTAAAGAGAACTAATCAGGAGCAGTGCAAGCTATCCCAGACTGGATACCGGGAATGAATTTCAAGAGAGTCGCAAAGCGCTGGCGACACAACCTGACGAGAATGACTGAGCTTCCTTATGCATTTGTGCGGCATAAGATGGAAACGCAACAAGACTCGGATTGCTTTCTATCGCAATTGTTACGCGGAGCAAAAGACGAGTCTAGCCACAAGTGGACGGCCTTGTCGCTATACAGCGCGGGAGCTGACACTGCACGTTGTCCCACTTCACAACACGGGGTAGAAGTATTGCTGACACGCTATAGACTGTATCAGCTCTTTCAACCTTTATTCTCGCAATGACTCTGTATCCTGATGTTCAAGGAAAGGCGCAAGCTGAGATCGACGAGGTGATCGGCAAAAACAGGCTTCCAACTTTCAATGATCGTTCGGATCTACCCTACATCAATGCGCTCGTGAAAGAAGTTCTTCGATGGCATCCGGTCACTCCAATGGCATTACCGCATACCAATGTGGAGAGCGATAGCTTTCATGGGTACTTTATCCCGAAAGAGTCAATCATTCTGCCCAACGTCTGGTAAGCCTCCTTCCGGATATTTGAGGCTCATACGCTCACATTTTGGAAGGGCGTTTATGCATGATCCGCAGACTTACAATCACCCGATGACATTCAAGCCTGAGCGTTTTCTGTCATTGGAGAGTAAGAGCCCGGAGCTTGATCCGCGGAAAATGGCATTCGGCTTCGGGCGGCGACTTTGCCCCGGACGTATACTGGCAGAATCGTCAATCTTCATCATTGTTGTGCAGTTTCTGGCGGTATTCGAGGTCAAAACAAGGCAATCTAGCCAGGATGAGAAACACAAGCAAATGAGCCCGGAGTTCCAGCCAGGGGTTATCAGTCACCCAGCGCCATTTGACTTTCGGGTTCGAGCGCGGAGTCCACACTGTGAAGCGTTGATCCGTAGTTCCCAGGAAGCCCACCCATGGTTGGAAAGCGATGCACATACACTGGCGCATCTTGGTTTCTGATAGAGTTTTGTGGCCATGCAGGCTGATATCACAGGATCAAAATCCTCGTATTGCGATGTGATGTAATCGGTTGACATTATGGGTAGACGCCCTAGATTCAAGGATGATCATGTATGTGTGGGTAAACGTCAGCGGAGTGAGAGGTCATTGTATTTCAGCTACCTTCTTCGTGAATCCTGCGTGTTTGTTTGCCCCAGCCTTGATTTCAGACATGCAACTGTGGTTTCGCGCTTGGCAGAGCCGTTACCTTGTTTGCGTTGTCACGCAAGCCGAGATTGGGGGCGGGGACCAAGCATAGTATAGGTACTAAGCCTTCAAGCCTGTTAAAGACGGCCTTGGCCACGAGTTGTGCTGGAAAGTTCATGTCTCCAGACAAGGCCATCCATCATGTCTGATTTCTTAAATGAAACCACTTCTGTGACTCCACTGCCTACAGACGATATTGTGTCATGTGTGCGGATTGGCAAAGTCAAACAACTGGGACCAGGGTCTGTGACTTCAGCCATCGAGAAGTCACCATGTGCGGGCAGGGTGTATGTCACCGATCAGGGTATAACTGGCGATGAACAGGCGTACGAACACCATGGTGGGGTCGACAAAGCCTTGCATCAATACTGCTCTCGTCACTACGAGGCCTGGAAGCGAGAGGTTCCCGAGCGAGCACACTTGTTCAACATGGGCGGATACGGAGAGAATATTTCAGCACACACCTTCGATGAAACCAATACCTGCATCGGCGATATCCTTGAGATCGGCTCTGATGGCGTTCTAGTCCAAGTCAGTGAGCCCCGACAGCCATGTTTCAAGCTAAATCGCCGCTTTGAGTTCGCGCAAGCTTCAATCCGAACGCAAACAACCGGACGGACCGGGTGGTATCTGCGCGTCTTGAAACCGGGTTTCATACAGGCTGGTGATCGTATTCGATTGGTACGTCGAATTAACCCCAGATGGTCGATTAGCGAAGTGGGGAAAATCCTCTGGGAGGATCGAAAGAATATCGAGTCATTGAAGGAACTCAGTGACCTGCCTGGGCTTGGCAGAGAGATTGCACAGGTATTTCGCCGGCGCCTTGCCACTCGAGAGGATGAGGATATGCTGTTTCGTCTAAACGGCGAGGCGTCAATGTGGGAGGAGCCAAGGAGTTGTGGAGCAGCCAGGACAGTGAACTTGGTCATTCTTGTCAAAGTGTTTCTATTCGTCGGGATTGTGTTTGGCTTATGGATTGTACTGAGGCGGGTTGTGGTCCATCTAGAGGTCAAGGATCATCAGGACAGTGTGAATAGTGGACTGTGAGAATAAAAAAGAAGATGAGCTAATAGGTATTGTGAGTTGCGAATTTCCCGTTCCTCATCCCGGAACCGATGCTTACCAATCTCCGTAAACCAAGAATTGCAAAATAAGCAACTCGTTCTCCGGGACGTTTCACTAAAGGCAAAGTAAAGCAAGCGGGGACATGCAAAATAGGGCACCATCGCATCCGGGCGGGCTGGGGACCATAGATCGACGTAGTAGATTGTAGAGGCGGCATCCCCCAACTCTCTTACCAGCTGCCACATGCCAGATGAGGTCCTGAATAGTTTAAAACGACTTGTCCGCATTTGTTGAGGAGTAACCAGTGGTTTGGTTTCAGATTCACAAATCACCTGTCGAGGCAGTCGATCCACAACCATCTCTTCGGTGCCAAATGCATATCCGACATTCGACAGCTTCAAAACGCGCGTCTGCACCCGGCTCTACTGTCCATTGCACGGACTAGTTCCTGTCTCAGGGAGATGGAATTTGGATTTTGCTGACTTCAACAGTACCCATCAATACAAGAAAAAACTCGTGTTGGTTACGCCTGAAGGCGATCGTCACCAGCACTGCGTAGAAGTGCAAGGCCAGCGAAGAAACAGTGCTAGCGCAGCCGACGACATACTAGCAGCGGCGGTTTGATGTTCAAAAAAGCATAGGATCGGAGCATGTTCGTATTAAGGCATAGTAGGCACAGCCACACTTACTGCAGGGGTGGAAAACAGCGCAGTGCATACAACTACAGCATAATATACAACAAATTGTCGTCAGGAGAACACCTCCATCCCTCACTCACACGGGCTGGCAATTTCCTGGACATAGAAGAGCACTCCAAAGCGAGTCAAATCAGATACCCATGCTCAAATGCCAATGTTGCAGACTCGAACACAGTTCCAATCTTGCAAACATGGTTTACCCCCTTTTGACCCACCAAGCCGTGCCCATCACAAGCACCCCTGTAATCACCACCCATCGCATCAAACCCCTCCTGATGTAATGCGCCGCCGCCTGCTCCATCGCCTTGGAATCATTGATCTTGGGAAATGGCATATCCTTGGGGACCTCCTTCCCCAAGCCCCGACAGAGCGGCTCCCACCCGTCCCGAACATCAAACACCACCAACCGATCCGCCGGGACCACCTCCCTCAACCACTTCAGATGGCGCTGGTAGACCCACGCTTTATCCTGCGCTTTGCCATCGTAGACTCGCGCCCACTGCGCTCTCACCAACGAGATGAAGGTCATGAAATGTCGCATCCCGGGCAGGGGCAGTAGGACCGCCCACAAGAACCACGGGGCCACAACCGAGGTGAGCGTGTCGATGCTCTGACTCCAGGCCTGCGGATCGCGCACCGTGACGACCACTTTAGCGTCCGGGTAGAGCGTAAGCAGCTCGGGTACCAAGTGTGAAGCGGGCGCGTCCGTGATGGCGGCGTAGCCGGTGGTGAGGGAGTGGAGGAGTGACAGCGTGTGGTCGGTGTCATTGCGCAGCCATGTGCGAAGAAGGTGGTTCCAGCGCGGGAGCTCCGTGGGCGGGCCGAGGGTGATCTGCGTGCCGCCGTGGTAGACGGGGCCCTCCAGGAGGATGGAGAGGGCGGCGCTGAGCGAGGCAGTGCCTGTGCGGGAGAGACCGGCGCCGATGACTTGGATGGTGGTGTCGGGCTTTGGGGTGGAGGGAGATTGGCCCATTTTCAGCTGGAATAGTAAATAGTTGTTGCAGTGGACAAGGATGGATTGGGTGGGAAGGGAGGAAGTGGAGTGGTAGGGATGGTTTAAATAAACCGTGCCCCTGGATTTGGCTATGCTACCATGATATGTCAATTTCTGAATCATAGCCGCATCGTCCCTGCAATGTAAATGTTTGGCAGGGGCCGGCGGGAAGATCCGTCGGTTTTGGTCCAGTAAGCTGGTCTCTGGCGTTTGACACTCTACTATCAAATTTAAGACATAATTTCATATGCGACAGGCTCCAGCGAAGATGACACTGCGCAAATGGCCCGGATCTTACCGTGGTTGTTCCCCCTCTTACTACCGGTCAATTGTTGCTTGGTTGAGATACAAGCACCTCGCCATGTGACCGCGCGGGGACTTTCTCTCAAGGACTACTACGGTGCCAGAATCGAACCGAAACCAGTCTGGAGGGTGATAAATCCGATTTTGATCCCTGTTTGCTGCCAATTGTCTCAGCAGAATCCTAGGCAATGATTATGCAAATGGGCATGACGTGACAGTGAATAGTCGACTCCAAACATCAACAGAGCATGATGGATAAACCACTGGCGAGTGGTGTTTGATAAGGGGACTAGTGGGGTCAGACGATCCGGCTACTATAGCTGGTACTGGTCTTCCAGCTCGATTCCCACCGGTTATGCCCATTCCTCTACAGCAACCAGTTGACTTCAACAGGCTCTACGTGAAGAGGAATTTAGGAGGATTACAGTGGCCTCCGGATAAACAGTGGCGGAGCCAATGTCGGCATCGGGCTGGGATATCGTATGATATTTACTGGAGGGACGATACCTGGTTCTGGGAATGGTCGAGACTTTGAGTGTTCGTGGGATCTGGTCGGAGCTAGGGTGTTGGAAGCATTTGCTGCTTGCTTGTTGGGTCTGGTTTGTAACAGCCCTGGATCATTTGCTCAGTTCGGGGTCATCATGTCAACAATACCTTCTGAATAGATAGGATGCACCTCAGTCATCGCTCAGTAAGACCGGTTCTTTATACCTCGAGCATCGAGTCGATTCCACTCTTATTGAGGCATCTCGGCCTAGATTTTCTGATCATGGAGTTCACTGCATTCACAGAGTGTTGCTAGTGATGTTATCATGATTGATTTAGTCTTAGAGTAGCTGGCATTCAAGACGGATAATGTTATATGGAATCTCAAGTCTAGATGATTAGAAGTAAGACGAAGTGTCCCACTGCCTGAAAAAGAGAACCTCTTTAACAGTGGGATGTTTCCCATAATTTAGTCCCCTCGAATTCACACAATTCGCTCGGGTGAACGCGCATAATGATTGCACCCATACCTCCTGATCTATCCACCTCTGCACTTCCTCCACTGGCAAAAAACCACACCACACCAATATCAAAGTTCAGACGACAAAGCCCATCCCAACCTCAGCCTCGGCACCCGTGGCGCAATCAACCAAAAGCTCAAGCACAGGAAAACGTGATGGTTGACTCTAGCAGCCAAGAAATCCACTCACTGTCGGTAACTAATGGCACCCCCCCCCCCCGGTAGGACAGCCTCAACGATGTGGACTGTGATATTGAACAAAGTTCCAGTTAGCACTCTCCGCCCCGTAAGCAAGTAGACGAAAGCTCCAACATATCGCGAGCCCCACTACTTTCTGGCAGGGGTGCAGGGTAAGCGCTTAGTGCTTATTTCAGCTGAGCTGTTCTTTGTTGATCCCACCCACAGCCCTTTGGGGATTGCTGCCAATTAGTCAGCGGTAAGACTTTAAGGCTATAGAGCTGTGTGACATCGCTTGCGTATTATACAGTCTTCTTGCGGGTCGACTCGAAAGGGCTTTGGCGTCTAACTTAGTTGTTGGCCTCAACCGGAGCTGAACCCGTTAATTTCTCGTTGTTGTACGCTACCGAGGTATTCTTACTCAGCCCTAATAGTTATAGTTAACAGCAAAGAGCTTATACCTTTTGAGGATTAGTGGTAGGCCTTAGGCATGGATGTACTGGCACGAAGGTGACTATAAAATCAGGGAAAGCCTCTGCTGCAGTGGTGTAAGTAACGATCTTCACTTCCAGCCATCCCATCAAGTGCAAGCACATCATTGCAGCTTCCAGAGATGATTGAAACTACTTCTTCCACGCTTCCTCCGACTACAGGAAAGAATACTGCTTCCCCCAGCCTTCCAGACATCTCTCCATCCGAGATGCAAAAGATCCAGCAACGGTACGCCGAAGAGCGCGACAAGCGTCAGCGTCCCGAGGGCCTATCACAGTACATCAACCTGGCCTCAGCCGAGGACCCCTAACTGAAACGTCTCCTACATGATCCGTGGGACGATGGAACCGCTCCCTCTGTGGCCCTGAAGGAAGGCGCCCGCTTCAAGGTCGTCATCCTGGGCGCCGGGTTCGGCGGGCTCCTGTTCGCCGTCCGACTCCTCCAAACCGGCTGCTTCCGCCCGGAGGAGATTGTCCTCGTCGACGTGGCGGCGAGCTTCGGGGGGACGTGGTACTGGAACCGGTACCCGGGACTGATGTGTGATATCGAAAGCTACATCTACTTGCCCTTGCTCGAGGAGACGGGATACATTCCCAAGCGGAAGTACGCTTCCGGGGAGGAGATTCGCGAACATGCGCAGCGTATCGCCGCGCACTGGTCGCTGGAGGACCGCGCCATGTGGCGGACGGAGGTGAATCGGTGTTCTTGGAGTGATGAAGCGGCTGAATGGTCGCTCGACATGACTCAATCTCCGCCTCCCTTGAATAATGATGGAACCAAAGGCGAATCTCTTTCAGCGACCGTCCATGCGGACTTTGTGATTCTCGCACCTGGGCCACTGAACATACCCAAGGTGTCTGATTTCGCTGGTTTTGATTCCTTCCAGGGCTCCCGTTTCCTGGCATCGCGGTGGAATTACGACGTTACTGGGCTAGCCCCGAGACCCCTGTCTTAAGTAGATTGGGGGGCAAACGAGTTGGGATCATCGGCACCGGGGCAACTGGCATCCAGATTGTCCCTGAATTAGCCAAATGGTGTCAACAGTTGTATGTCTTCCAGCGGACGCCCGCGCAAATCGGGGTGCGAGACCAACGCTCCACAGACCTAGGCGAGTGGACCAAGAACGTCGCCACGGGACCTGGTTGGCAAATGGTGCGGTTCCGCAACTTCGTCTCCTTTACGTGTGACACGCAGCCTCCGCCCCCCGTCGATTTGGTGGCAGATGGATGGACTAGCTTTCGTTCTTTGCAGGTCCTCGGAGGCGGAGGCAGTCCGGTCAGCATGGAGGAGATCCCCGCTCATATTATCAGGATGCACGCTTTTGACCTACCTCGAGCCTAGCGCATCCGGGCCCGCGTCGACTAGATAATTCATGATCGGACGGTAGCTGAACAGCTGAAAGCGTGGTATCCCAGCTGGTGCAAACGGCCCTGCTTCCACGACGAGTATTTGCCGACCTTCAATCAGCCGCATGTGCGACTGGTCGATACCAACGGCAAAGGGGTGCAAGCCATCACACCCACCGGAGTGGTAGCCAACGGTGAGCAGTTCGATGTGGACGTCCTGATTCTCGCCATGGGATACGATGTGAAACCGCTCGAAAGCCCTGGGGCGCGAGCGAAGGTCTCGGTGTTTGGACGTGCGGGTCGCAGTATGAATGAGAAATGGGTGCAGAGCCCCTTGACTCTACACGGCGTCGCCACCAGTGGCTTCCCCAACATGTTCTTCTCGGGTGTTGGCCAGACAAGCTATTTCCCTTCATACACAGCGACGCTGGATACATGCGCCAAGCATGTGGCCTTCGTCATTTCCGAAGTTATCAAGCGGCAGGGTAGCGGCAAGATGACTATCGAAGTTACTCAGGGTGCAGAGACAGCTTGGGGGCTGCGAGTCCAGGCCGGTGCTCCGGCCCTGGCAGCCTTGGCGGGTTGTACCCCGTCGTACTTGAACGCTGAAGGCAGCCTAGAAGACGTGTCGATGGAGGAAAGAATGAAGTTGGCGGCTTCTGCACGGTGGCCACACGGGATGGCCGATTGGATGGATGTTTTGGAGGAGTGGCGGGATGCTGGTGACTTGGCTGGACTTCAGATCAGTGTCGTATAGAGACGGTGCCTGCGGTAGGAAATTGAAAACAAGAAGTTCATGGCAATGTCTCAGTGGGTAGATATTGGGGAGGAGCACAGTCAAAATGTCGATCCGTCCCTCACCCTGTAGCCTCAGATATGAGCGTTAGCACTAACCCAACCTACTCTAAAGTGGCATCCTTGTAGTGGCAATCGCGGTCTGAAAATTCCTGTTTCAACCATTAGAAAGTGTACCAAGGCCTCTGTTTCATGCTTTAGCTTTTCCATTTTCAGATTGACCTCTCAGTTGGTCCTTAATCACCTCCCACTGTACTTCATCATTGGTACGTTTCTGATGTACTGTACCACTTCTCAGGCACGGTGTCGTCCTTCTCCCTTGAAGTTGTGGTAAGTCTGCTCTCCGTTTTCGATTTTCTTTCCGCCAGCGTGCCCTACTCATCATCAAACTTCTGGCGTGTTCGCGACGAGGCCTCGTGGTAAGAGATTGGAAGAACAGTCCAGATATTTGTGCTAGCGTCATTGCTGTGTGTCTTCGTGGCGATGTTGGAGATAACTGGAGAGGGGCTTGCGCGGGGCGCATGATGGAGCAAGAGGAATGATTGGCGGTGGTCTTGTTGATCAGGGTGATCGTCGTAGTGTTGTTACAGTCGCGACGGATTGGAGAAGAAGTATACTAGGTCCTTGGACTTTTGACTATCGACTGGATACAAAGCTTTGGTGCATGGTGGAAGGATTATGAGGAGGTGTGTTGAGTTGATGTTGCGCTAGTTGACATTATACACAAAAGAAGCAAACACAACAAAAAATGATGGACAATAGGGAAGATTCCATACTAGGTACAAAGATCACACCACCCGTTTCTGAGAGGATACATGAACCCGAAACAGGACCACATCAACCTTATATTATTTTATACACATGTCTATCTTTGTTAAGTTATTTATTCCAAGCCAGCTAGGGGGTGAGTTGACGTAATGCAGCATTACAGGTGTCTGTCTGGGGTACAGCTGCCAAGAGGATCTGTGGCATGTTACACCAACAAGCTGACAAGCATGGCTGTCGGGTGGAGGGACACGTGCCGTTTCCAGATGTCCGATGACATCTTGCCTTCCCTCCTTCTCCAAAGACATACCCACAACACTAGTCTCCTAGTGGTGCTACTATGAAAGGACTGACCATCTCTCTCCACTGGGCAAACACCTTGTGGGCTTGTAGTGTGTGTCTGACCGCTGCTTGGGGGGGGTGTTGGTCCCGGGTTTGTGACTCCCCAAACAGGCTTAGGCAGTCAGATGACGATCAGCGCGATGGGTCCCGAGTCCATCGCTTTCTCCTTTCGCTCTTCTCCCCGCCTCCATTCTTTTGACGGCCTGGTCTGTGTCTGTCACTACCTATGCATTTACTTCCCCTCCCCCCTCCTTTTCCTTTCAGCTCTTATTTTAGTCTTTCTTTACTTTCAGCTGTATCATATCTTTGCTTTGTGTATAGTTTCATCCTCTCCGACGCTTTGTTGCTACTCTTTCCACTAGACATAACAATCGACCGCTCGGTTGCACTCACTTCCTTATCTCCGTGTCTCACCGCCGTCGACCGCTTCTTCTTGTTTGCATCCAAACACAGTCGAACTTTCGTCCGTGTCTCCACTCTGCAGTTGCCCGGCGTTGATGCGCGGATGGATATGTCCGTTATCGCAAAATGTTTGTTACCTTGAACTTCTCCTATCTACCCCTCCATCTGCCCCCCTGCCCTGCATTTTGGGTTCTCAGGAGTCGGGGTTAACTTTTACTTCTCAGACAGCCATCAGTAGGTCGGAAGCAGCCCTTGCTTCACCTCGCATCGCCGAAAATGCCTCGTTCTGTCCCTCAAAGGTTTCCCTCGGCTCCTTCAGACATCGAGCATGTCTCGATCGAAACCGATGGCCGAAGAACCAGCGCTCAAACGGCTCCTCCCTCGCCGTCCGCCTTTCGGCGCAGTCACAGTCACCTGTCCGAAGCCCACACCGGTTATGAAACGCTGGAATCGCCTATGGAAGTAGGAGAGACGACCAGCTTGTTAGGCAAAGGGCACGAACACCGGCGCAATTTCCCGAGATCCTACACCAACATTTCTGGCAACTCGGGCCCCGATCTAAACTTCAGACATAGCTTGTTGGCGGGCAGCCTCCGGCGATCACGCCATCACAGCCGCGCTAATTCGCAAGCGATGCGTTTCAGCCGTCGCGACAGTGACCCCGCCGCGAGTGTCGCTCCCTCAGGCAAGGACGACATGACTGCCTCGTTCCTGGATGAACGGAGCTGGTACGATCAATTCACCTCGACTGATTGGGTCCATGATAGCATCGCGGACGGCGCTCGCCTACGAGAGTTACGGAGGCGGAAAGACATCCGGGGTCGCCTACTGGCATGGTTCGATGGCAGTCAGGGCTGGGTGCTGGTAGCGTTGATCGGCTGCATAACCGCGGCTATCGCCTTTTCTGTCGACGTGACGGAGAAGTTTGTTTTCGATGTGAAGGAGGGTTTCTGCACCACACACTGGTTCCATAGCCGCCAAAGCTGCTGCACGGGAGGGCAAGAATGCCCCGCGTGGAGATCTTGGTCAAACATTTTGAGCCCATCGGGCAGTGAAAATCAGTGGGTCGATTACGGCATGTTCATTTTCTGGGTGATCTTACTCTCCATGATCTCTTGTGCGCTCACCTTACTCACAAAGACGGTGGTGCCATCATCCATCTCGTTGACGACTCTGGACGAAAACCTCGGAGCTGCGTCCTCGCGCGGTACGAAAGGGAAGACCGGAAATGCCAGCTCGCATGACTCGCCCAATGGTCTACAAGCACCGGGTGCTGTTATCCCTACCCGGCCTGCCATGACATACTACTCGGCGGCAGGGAGTGGAGTGGCCGAGGTCAAGGTCATCAACAGCGGTTTTGTCTTGCACGGGTATCTAGGCTTCAAGACTCTTGTCGTCAAGACTGTCGCTCTGGTCTTTAGTGTCGCGTCAGGCTTGAGCTTGGGTAAGGAGGGTCCATATGTACACATCGCGACCTGCGTAGGAAACATTTGCTGTCGCTTGTTTGCGAAATACAACCTGAACGACGGCAAGAGGCGTGAGGTCTTGAGTGCCAGCGCTGCCAGCGGTGTTGCGGTAGCTTTCGGGGCGCCTATCGGTGGTGTGCTTTTTAGCCTCGAGGAAGTCAGCTATTATTTCCCTCCGAAGACACTCTTCAGGACGTTCTTCTGCTGCATTGCAGCAGCCTTGTCTCTCAAATTCCTCAATCCCTACGGTACCGGCAAGATTGTCTTGTTTCAGGTTCGCTATCTTGGGGATTGGGAAATGTTCGAGATGGTCATCTTCATCCTCTTGGGTGTCCTTGGAGGAGCAGCCGGGGCTCTGTTCATCAAAGCGTCGAGCGTCTGGGCGCGGTCGTTCCGACGCATTCCGATCATCAAGCGCTATCCCATGCTTGAGGTTGTTCTCGTGGCTTTAGTGACCGGACTTGTTGGGTTCTGGAATCGGTACACCAAGCTGCCTGTTTCCGAGCTGATGTTTGAGTTGGCCAGCCCGTGCGAGCATGTGTCATCATCACCCACGGGCTTGTGTCCCAGCGAAGACCGCATTGGCGATATTATTCGCTACCTGCTGGTCGCTCTCGTCATCAAGAGTCTGCTTACCATTGTCACATTTGGCATTAAAGTGCCCGCTGGAATTTACGTTCCATCCATGGTTGTTGGTGGTCTCATGGGCCGCATCGTTGGCCATGTGGCACAATACTTGGTGCTCAAATATCCAAACTCGTTCCTCTTCGGGTCTTCTTGCCCGGCTGTCGCTGGTATGGAGTCCTGCGTGACACCGGGGGTTTATGCCATGGTTGCGGCCGGTGCTACCATGTGTGGTGTCACACGCCTGTCGGTGACACTTGCCGTCATATTGTTCGAACTGACCGGTAGTTTGGACCACGTGCTCCCATTTTCACTGGCAGTTCTCTGTGCCAAGTGGACAGCAGATGCAATCGAACCCCGCAGTATCTACGTGAGTACCTGGAACCCTGCAATCATGGTCATTGTACTAACGTACGCAGGACCTGCTGACGGACATGAACGCGTATCCGTTCCTCGACAATAAACTCCAGCCCTTGTCAGATGGACAACTTGGCGATCTCGTCCGACCCCTGCGGGCCAGCCGGATAATCGACATTTCGGAGTCCTCCTTTGTGCCCGCGACGGAGCTGCGGTCGAAACTACAGAATCTGCTTATGGCCGGTGAGCTCGACAGTGGCTTGCCGATATTGCGTCACAACATTCTGACTGGGTTGATCCCTGCGCCCGACCTTGAATACGCTCTCGACAATCTTGAGGATGAGGAGAACACCCTGTGTCTGATGACGATGGATATGTCCTCGGCTATCTCCGACAGTGAGGACCTGGAAAACACCGACTGGGTGGACTTTACTCAATACATTGATTTTGTAAGTCAGGTGATCTCTCTGCATGACACAAAGCTGATCCTTTTAGTCCCCGATGGCCCTGGACATCCATTCCCCGATTGATCTTGTGTATCAGTGCTTTGCGAAGCTGGGCCTGCGGTATCTGTGTGTTCTCCACGATGGACACTACGCCGGCCTGGTACATAAGAAAGCGTTTGTGAAGTATATGAAGCAGAACGAGTAGTTTGCTTTTCGGTGGATACGTTTTATGAATTGGTCCTGCGCGGTTATCTAGATTTGTTACTGTAAATTAGCTCGGAGTTGGTTCAGCGTTTGTTTCTGTTGCATATGATCCTGTATTTAGACCCTGGCTCCAGAATGGCGCCGTACATACCTTGCATACAGACTGTACATTGTCGCTTGCACTACCTCCACATTACCTTCCCTTTCTCCCTGATAGAGACCGATCAATCCACACGCTCATACCCCACCATCCTCACCCTCACCTCCCCCTCCACAATCCACTCATCCGTGACCGTCTCCCCCACCCACTCCGACACCTCCCTTGCACTCACCCTCCTCCACCCCCTCTCCTGGAGTAACTCCTCATCCACAGGGAAAAAAGTATCACACTCAAACACCCGCCCGCGATCCTCCTGGAACGCCAGCTTCTCCACAAACGTCATCACAATCCGCACCCCGCGCGTCTTGACCCGCAACGCCGCACCATAGATCTCCGCCCCGCCAATCACAAACACCTGTCCCAGTTTCCCCTCCGCGCCGTACCTCGCCTCGAGCGTGGTGAGTGATTCCTCCAACCCCGCGCACACGATCGCGTCGGTTTGCGGCCCTGGCGCTTGCCCCTGGCCCTGGTCCTGGCCCTGCCCCGCCGCGCGCATTTTCTCCTCCTCCTTCCGCCTTTTCCCGTCGAGGTCGTGCTGCACGCGCCGCGCGACCTCCTCGACGGACCGCGTGATCACGGCGTTGATGCGTTTGCCGAGCGGGCGCAGCGAGGCCGGGATCGAGTCGTAGGTCTTGCGGCCCATCAGGATGGCGTTTGTGCTGCCAGTGGGAGAGTGGGCGGGCGGGCGCGAGGTGATGCGCGCGAAGAAGGACATGTCGGTTTTGATGCGCGGCCAGGGGAGGGTGCCGTTTTGGCCGATGCCGAGGCGGAGGGGGCCGGTTTGGTGGCCTGTTGTTGTGGTGGTGGGGGTGGAGGGGATTGGGGTGGTGGCGACTATGAGGGTTAGGGGGGGTGGTTTGGGGGGCATTTTGGGTGGGTTGTTGGGTGGGTGGTTGTGGGTGGTGGTTGTGGGTGGTGGTTGTTGGTGGTGGTGAGGGTGAGGGTGAGGGTGAGGTTGGTTGCGTGGAGGTTATGGATGGATGGATGGATGGATGGGTGTGGAGGGAAATTTGGTTACGGTGGTTGGGTTGGTCGGGGCGGAGGTGGTGGTTATCGATAAGGTAGCGTAGCTTAGCTTTGCCGCATTGCAGCTTGGTTAGTATAATGCAGCTGAGTGGTTTGTTTGCCTTCTCTTTTGGACATTCGTTTGATTCATGCCAGCGCATCGCTTGCTCGAACAGTATATGCATTGTAGACCATTGGCAATCACAGACAATACAGATGATCATGTGCACTGCATAGTACAGTACTATTTCCGCAAGGTTCGAATAACCAGATTCGCAATACCCCAAACCGTAACGCCGAATATCCCACCCCGAAACCCAAACTCCCAATGCGCCCAGACCATACCATACTCCACTCCCAAAAAACCTATTTAGCAGCCTTCAGAAGTCCCCCCTCTTCAATCGCCCGCTGAATCGCCCCCGCATCCCGCTCCAACTCCTCCCGCCGCTTCACCTCCGCCTCATCCTCCCCCAACGTGTCCAGCTTCCCAAACAGCCACGTCTCCTTCATCACCCGCGTAAGCGCCAGGATGTCTTCTGCTGCGCGGACCTGCTCCCATAGCATATCAACAATCAGCGGGTTCGAGTCAGTCGTGAGGAGGTCAGGGCAACGAACCAAAGCGGTGGACTCGACGTCGAGTTGGTAGGTTTCGACGGCTGTGGAGGTGTGGCTTGTGCTTTCTGTCTGCAACTTCAAGTTAGGATCAGGTTTCAAGGGGTAAGAGTGGTGGGCAATGGGCGTCGCGTACCGTGGCTGTGGCCATGATGTTCTCGAAGCGTTGGAGGAGTTGGGAAATGTTCGTGTTGATGCGGTCTGGTTTTTGGGTGTGTTAGTGGCTGATGCGGTGGATGGGGTATGGCATACTGACTGTGCAGGGTTTTGGAGGAGGGTTGGGACTCCATTTTGGGAGATTGGGGGCTATTGAGGCGATTGAGTGATTGTATCAGGTTATGCAGATGGGGAGTGGGTGGGTTGTGCTTGTGATCGTGATTGTTCTGGGCGGGGGTCTAGGCGGTCAGATACTGCCGGCTTTGGATTACGATAATGAAGCTAATCTTCGAGTGTGTCTGGTTGGTGTGATATACGCAGTGGGTATTATGACTATACTTTATCGCTATCTAGGTGGTGCATCTCCAGCGCATGAACTCGTGATTGTTCACTTGACGTGATGGAGAGAAGAAACCCATCACTTGCGGACCTTCTGTTGGTGCTTGGCCCGTCCTGAGTGTTGCGACACCCCTGTCATCGTGGGTAGATTGTGATGTAGCATGATTGAGGAGCGAGGTTCAATGAGCCATGGTAGGTGTTGAGCTCAGCATTTGTAAAGTATGGTGTTCACCGAACATATTTACCCTGCGTCCATTAGCATTGGTATCCAGTCAAGAATCCGGAGCCAAGCCGACTTACCATGAACCGCTTGTGAAAGTCCGATCGCAACAAGTCCTGTATCATGTCAATACCATCCCCTATGTATAGCCAGCAAACTTACATTGACAAATTCCTTGCCCCGTTTATCCTCCGTGCCGCGCGCCTGGTTCTTGAAGACCACGTCGTCATCCCATCGTCGCTTCAGATTGAAGTCCTGGGGGTTGAGCAGAGGGTTTCCGCGCGCAATGTCGTATTCGCGCTTCTCTTCCTCTTCAGCCGCACGCTCGCGTTCCTACCATCATCAGCTTGTAGCCCTAGACCCAGACCGGAAGAAACCCACCTCTTTTTCCTTCTGCTCCAGCCTCTCCTTCTTGATCTTCTCCAGTTCGCGCATCAGCTCGGCAGCTTCATCCTCCTCATCATCACTAAACCAGTCAGTCCTGCCTTTATGCTTTGCTCAATTAGCGAAGCGCCTCACCTATCTTCATCACTACTGTCCTCCTCCGACCCATCTGAGTCCGCGTCGATGTCTCTCGTCTCCTCTAATATCCTTCGTCTTTTCGCTTCCATATCTTCTTCCTGCTCCCCTGTGTCTGCATCTCCGCCCGGCGAACCACCCTCCAACAGGCGCTTGGGCGTCACGCTCTCGACCGTGGGCTCATCAAGGGGGGTTCCGTTCTTCTTGGCGAAATGGGCGGCCTCAGCCTGGAGGAGTTCGGCGCGGAGGTCGCGCTGGGTGGCTTCCGCTTCGGTGCCTTGGCCGAGTTGACTGGCCAGCGTCAGTGTCTTTCTTCCCAATCATACAGGCTATCTCGCCATCCTACCGTGTCTTCAAGAGCTTGTGCGCGGGAAGCAGTCGCTGATGGTAGGCCGGACCACGGAGGGCCTCTTTGCCTTGTGCCTAGTTTCCCATGAGTTCTTGCGCTTCTCCCCGTCGGAGCTGGTAAGCGGGTTTACGTACGGGGTCAAACGTAGGTCTGTGTGCTGTTCCAAGAGTCAGCCAAACACCCTTGCCATGCAACATCACAGTCTTCTCACCTGTAGTCATATTGTGGTTGTGCGTAAATCCAGAGTCGCGAGAATTGCTGTCCGCGAAGAAGAAGAGTTGAGCTCTGATAATAAGGTAACCTCCGCCCGCGGCGATCAAACCAGAGCGGCAAAGCCCTCCGGCCTCAGGCGCACATATCTCACCGCCCAGGTTCCCACCGCTCCCATTGGACCATTACCCACCCGCCCAGACGCTGCAATGACGATGACCGCCTGCCCGCGGCATGAAATTTAGAGTGGAGGGAGAAAACGAAAGTCTTCCCCCGGGCCGCTGGCGGCCAAGTCCGCCGCCCCTCCGCCTATTCTCCTCTCTTTTCCTCCGCCGAAATTCCCAAATCATGAATAAAGAAGCACCGCTCTCGATCGCGGAGCGCGACTTCATCCTCAATGCGCTGCGCGAGGATGTACGGCTGGACGGTCGCGCCGCGGATGAGTTGCGTCCGTTGAAGGTGACCTTCGGGGAGGAGTACGGGCATGTGAAGGTGCAGCTTGGTCGGACGAGGTAAGCATCTTCTCTTGGTGGTTACAAAACAACAGCGCGAAGCTAACCGTTATTGTGTTTGTGTGTGTTAGTCTAGTGACACGCATCTCAGCCGAAGTGACGAAACCGCACGACGACCGGCCGTTCGATGGGCTTTTCACGATCGCGATGGAGCTTACGGCGATGGGGTCGCCCGCCTGGGATAATGGACGGTAGGACTTACCTTTCAACCCCAGAGCAGAGGGACACGGAATAAAGGGCAGCTGCAGCTTCTAATCACCGGGGGAAAAACAGACAAGGCGACCTCGAAACGTACGTGACCAACGTCCTGGACCGGGTGATCCGCCACTCCAACGCGCTGGACACGGAATCGCTGTGCATCGTCAAGGGGGTGAGCTGCTGGAGCATCCGGGCGGACGTGCACATCACCGACTACGACGGCAACCTGATCGATGCGGCGTGCGCGGGCATCATGGCGGGGCTGCAGCACTTCCGGCGCCCGGACGCCGTGGTCAAGGACGGCCAGGTGATCGTCTACGGGGTGGACGAGCGGGTGCCCGTCGCGCTGAACATCACGCACAAGCCGCTCGCGGTGACCTTCCACTCCTTCGACGAGGGCAAGCGCGTGATCCTCGACGCCACCCGGCGCGAGGAGCAGGCCGCCGAGGCCGACGTCGTCTTCGGGCTCAACAATGCCGGCGACGTCTGCTTCATGTCCAAGTTCTCCGGCTCGCCGGTCGACGCCATGGTCTTCGTCAACAAGACCTCCGTCGCCCTGGACAAGGTTAAGGAGATCAATGCCGTCATCGACAAGGCGCTGCAGGCGGATCTGGCTAAGCGCGCGAAGACGGGCAGGGCCGAGGAGTCGCGGGCGGAGAATGATCGGTGATCTACCTTCAGGTCGGGGTGGCTTTGGCGGGGTTTTGCTAGGTTTTACTAGAGATGTCATGCATATTACCAGGAGTCTAATGGTTTTGAAAGACGAGCAATCAGATTTGATTTGGATGATGGTGTGTTTTTGTTTGTAGATTTGGAGAAGCTACCCAATGGCTTGCCATGTTTGCGGTGAGTGGTCTCCGAAATATATTTGCAGCTTAGTAGCAGCCACACCAGGCTGAATGCCACTCAACTTGGCGCTGGCAAAACCTCGAGCCATCTTTTCAGCATTACCCATTTGTAATTGCTGGCCTGTGGCTAGATCAAATGTCAGTCACTAACTGTTCGTGTGCTCTTAGCGTCCTATCAAGAAATGAAGAATCCATTTTCAACCCGATGGTGGATAAATTTAGCCCACGGAGCTATAGTGAATCGGGTGGTGATATGCTCCGCCCAAGCCACTTATCCTCAGGCCAGGCCCGCCACCAAGCAATCTCTCGGACATTTGCCGCAGCCCATCGACCAAGCAGATTTGAGAACTCGCTTTTTTGGTAGACTACGATCTGACAGCCGGCAAGCCACACTTTAGTTCAACAATTAATGTTCTGTCTTAACTTGCTCAACAGAGAAGGTCAAATTTTGTTCATGATGTCTCGATATGACTTTTCGGACGCTGGCTCACGACGGGAGGAAAGCCGATGTCTGCCAGATACTCACTGTTCGCTCGCTCGGACGCGACGTCCACATTTGTCGTGACTGTGATGTTCCCCTTCCCACCGGTCTGCCTCAGGAGCTCTTCTTCTGACCCCGTCAAGTTGCCACTCAGTAGCTCGTGGATCTGGAGGCTAGCGCGTGACAGGCGCGATTCGGCTTTCTTGGGGCCTGCTGCGTTCGAGCCCTGCTTGATGTAATCGGAAAGTCGGTGGGCGCCATTGGTTAAGTCGTCGCTTGAGCTGCCCACGAGCTTGGTGAAAAGGGTCTTCAACGCGGGAAGATTGACTGCCACGACGGCAATCTCTATTTCAATTGCCGCTGCGATGATCATTCGGCCGAGCACGTACGCCGTGTCGGGGTCGGCGATGAGTTGTCTCTGCACTTCGAAGCGGCATAACGCCGTCACTACGGACAAGGCGCCGAAACACATGACTCCGAGCACGGCGACCTTGCGTTGGTTGCTCATCTGTAGCCGCATCACGGTCGGGATCGGTAGGGTGAGGATGATGATATCCGTGATGATGTTCTTGCCATGGTTTAAGACATGTTAGTGTATGTGTATCCTGCCAAGAGCTCTTGCCATCCCTACCAGTCCTGTTGGTACCATCATGACCACGTACGTGCTCAGACATTGCGCGTTTGTATACTCAGCGGGGTGGAATATGGCGCCGAGGGGTCTGCATTGTAGAAAGGCGAGTAGCCAGTTCGTGATCGTGAAAAGGGTGTTGAGGACCATTGTGCTGAAGACTTTGATCTGGAATGATCGATCTGGGGAGAGTCGGAGGTAGAAGAGCAGGAACGCTTGTTTGATGGTCCAGTGCACGAACATGTAAAAGACTTCTTCGACGAACAGCCACTGGATGCAAATGTGTTAGTTGAGAACGCGCCAGTAAGCGAGGTGTGTACCTTGGTTATTTGTTCCTGCTGATGCGAGGATAATTGACTCGAGTGCCTACCACGGAACCTGGTCAGCTCTCGTCCTGCTTATTGATTGTCTTTTCGTCTCTCACAGTCCACATCCATAATGAAGAAAGATGTACAGAATCATCTGCTGCATCCCGTTGACAAACTGTGAAGTGATCAATTGGATGGTCGCTGATCAAGAGCCAGAATGAGAACTCCTTACCAGGAGAATGATAGCCACCGCATCATCCGTACCAAAACTCTGATGACGCAGTCGACAGTAAAGCCGCAGGAAGATGGAGCAAGTTCCGATCGCGAAAGCAGCAGAGATAATCCCGTAGGTCAATGGCTGGAGATTCTCGAGAGCCATTTTGCCCACCGCATAAGCCCAGGCAAAGAGCTCGCTCCTGCAGGCTCTTTTGCTCTGTCGAAAATGACCAGCGAGTCGAGCCGGCCGAGAGAATATATACTGGACAGGCTCGAAAGTCCATTGGGCCGATAATCAAATGCTTGGAGGCAGCCTTGTCTTTCTTCACCCCCTCTTCTGATCCAGCCCATCCTGCTGTGTGCATCGATCCTGTTGATAGTCCAGCCATCCCTGCAAGCGCCATCGCTAGGAGGCCTTAGATGCAGATGAGATCCAGTGCGCAAAACTCTTTGCTTTCTCTCCTCCCGCCAATCCGCGAGAGTTGGCATCAGCATAAGCTCCACAGCGGACGGCTGCTCCCTTCCTAGTCTCCTATAGTGTCTCGCGATGTGGATCGGGGAATTCAGCCACCACTGAAGGGCCGCCGTGCGATCAAGCGAACACGAGTAGCAGAGATGAAAGGTGGAGATGACGGGCTTGTCCTGCATATTGTCCGCACGAGGACCGGAGTTTCACCATCGTGCACGATGGGTCTTGGTTTCTGTCATAAGCGCCTCTCTTATCCCGGTTGTGCGATCGGCTGAGATGGTGAGTGTTTTTTATTCCTGCCGAGGTGGGGTATAGACAAGGGTCAATAAACTAACCAGCTGTCTGCTGCCAATAACAGATTCACAGTCATCGACTATAGTGACGCCGTCGCTTTAGCATGCAATCTTGTATGATGCTGGAGGGAGTCCCGGCTCGAATGGATGATAAATAATCGTTCGCTGCCCCTTTTCTTCGAACAACTGTGGGCACACTGATGGGTGGTTGAGAAAATCAACAACGCACTCACAATGGAGGCAGCGAAATTGTTGCTTTGGTCCGCAGGCGTTAGTGACTTCCTCGGGAAGGACCTGCTCAGCCTGGGAAGTTCCGCTGCCGGACTCGCGATTGTCCTCCATCTCACTCTCTTTCGCACCAGTTTTCCCACGGAAGATCATCTTCATGAACTTCTGATACTCTACGTTGTTTCAGTATCTGCCGTGTTTGCTGCCTATCTTTCGTCAACTGATTATTCAGCGACCCAGAGTCTGGTCCGAGTATGCTGGATTGCAGGCGCTTTCAACACAGGACTATTGTTGAGCATTGGGGTTTATCGGTTGTTCTTTCATCGTCTTCGTCACTTTCCAGGCCCGATAGGGTCCAAGGTGTCCCGGTTCTATGATGCGTATCTTGCCGGACGGAATGTGCAATACAATGTGGAAATTGAGAAACTCCACAAACAGTACGGTGACTTCATCAGGACAGGTATGCCATGTCGCCACTCCCAGGTGCTCACCACCAGTACTGAACATGCTCCGATCATAGGTCCTCGAGAGATCTGCATCGTCCGGAGATCGGCTTTACCAGTCCTCTTCGGACCTCGGTCAAAGTGTCGCAAGTCAACCTACTACGCGCAGGCCTCTACCAACCCAATAGAATGCTCCGTCCACCACACACGAAATTTCGAAGATCATCGGAAACGACGGAAGGCATGGGATCGAGGATTCTGTATCAAATGTGCGCTCTCTACTCAAAGCCATTTCTTGGAAGATGCCGGCGGAAATTGACCAGGCATATCTAGCACTCGGAGTGTACGAACCACGGATCAAGGCGAGGGCCGATCAACTTGCCGCTCATATCGCAGCCAACCTGGGAAATCCCATTGATGCCACCGCCTGGTCAATGTTTCTCAGTTTTGATGTGATGGGGGATGTGGGCTTTGGAAAGAACTTTGGAAACTTGACAACAGGTGTTGAGCACCCGGCTATCAAAGCAATTCACGACCACATGGCCATTCTGGGGGTTCTAGGCCATGTTCCCTGGTTTCTGAATCTCATAAGCGGTGTTCCGGGAGCGACTGCAGCCTATTCAGGTTTTTTCAAGTGGTGTGGTGATGAGATAGAAAGGAAGCAAAAGGTGCGTTATTGCTTCGTTTGTGTTCGGCTTTTGGCTGAGGTGTTAATGCGGTGTGCAGATCTGGGACGCTGGAAAGTATCCAGACGATATTGTCTCATGGCTGCTGAAAGCCTACGTGGACAACGACGCAGCAGCCTCTCCTTCAGAAGCTGCTTTGCACGAAGACTCTCGGGTGGTTATTATCGCTGGCAGTGAAACCACAGCGACTACCTTAGCTACTGTTCTTTTCTACCTAGCTAAGTATCAGTATGTCCTTGCCAAGCTTCAGCGACTCTTAGATGAGGCTATGCCCGGTGGGGTCGAGGACTGGTCCTACGACAAAGTGAAGAAAGTCTCTTTTCTTGACGACATCATCAGTGAAGCTCTCCGTCTCCGGCCAGCCGTGATGACAGGTGGATACCGGGTAACCCCTGCGGAAGGCCTCCAGATCGATGAGGTGTACATTCCCGGGGATGTCAACGTGTTTGTTCCGGTTCAGTTGATCCAAACGGACGAGAGATATTACAAACAAGCCAAAAGTTTCATTCCCGAGAGATGGGGTGAAAGAAAAGGTGAGCTGGGCACCGATGGGGCGCCTTTCATTCCATTTGCAATGGGTAAGTACTTTACCGCAACTTTTTCGCGGCGTCGGATTGATTCACAATTCAAGTGATTGGGTAAGTTCCATCGCTAACTTGCGTCCCCAGGCCCATATAGTTGTCCCGGAAAGAATCTCGCTCTGCTCAGCCTCCGCATCACGGTGTCTGTATTGGCTTTACAATATTCTATAAGCTTCGCGCCGGGTGAGACAGGTGAAGACTTTGAGCACAACGCGTTGGACACGTTTACAACGACGTTACCTCCTCTTCGGCTTCAGTTTTTCAAACGGCAGGGTTTGCCAGGATGCTAGCCCTAGTGCCAGAGTTGCCAAATACTATCTCGTTCAAATTGTTCTAGATGCCATGGTCCAGGAAAACAAGATCGAGAGCCTAATGGCCGATGCGCCAAAAAGCCACGCTCGGCACCTTGTCTCGAGATACGAATGAAGATTTGATACATTCTACGACATGTTGTCTGGGGTGTTGTTTGCCTGTTCCACTGACTTGTAACTTGGCAAAACCCGCTAGACATATCCATATAAGACAAAGAACATCATAGACATTTCCAGCCCTCTACGTATCTCATTGCTCATTGCATACGTGACATTACACGATGCTTGCAGGCTGTTGAATATATAGCAGCTGTAGTTCCATGTTCAGGATAAATTAGAAGTTGCAAATCAGTTCCAAACCAGTCCCTAGTCTCATCGCCCTACTTTACCTATTCATATTTCTGTTGATGAACAACAATGGCAACTTCGCAACCTATAATCTGGGTGCGTCAGTATGAATACCACTACCAAGAAATGAAGAACTCCACGAACCAGGTTGCAACTTGGTTGAAAAGGAACTACGAAGAGAACCACAGAAGACTTCCACCGAGAAACCCGGAATATCCTCTCGATGTGGGCCAATACATACATTGCGCAACCTTTCTCAGAGACTTGCGAAGCCCCGGTATCGAATTTCCTCGGGAGTCAACGGCTTCCCTTCACTACGCTATTTGGGCACGTCTACACAGGGTTGAGATCGAATACTCACAGAGGCGCAATTGGAACAAAGGGCAGAGACGCAAGTTCGAAAGCCATGTTCACTTCCTCCTAGTACTGATGGAGGTCCATGACATTCTGTTGCAACGATCGAACCAAGACCCTCTTCGATACTGCAGAGACTGTGCCGATCATGAGCCCAAGCAGCTTGCAAGTGCGAACTTCCCATGGAGACCGACTGGGCAGTTCCATCTGAAATTGAAATTGACGTTTTCCGTGGCAAGAGCTTTGGCTGCTAGGTTTTTCCGGGCCAAGCAGAGCTAAGATGATTGTTTTACTTTGATTTTTGATGTGTAACTGATCAAATTGTTGCTTGGTTTATACATGCTTGCATGTTTTGGTTTTGATGTTAACATAGTTTAGGATTGAAATAATATTGTGGTTAACGTCTCAGTATCTGCTTCCAAGCTCCAAGCTGTTGCTGCTATTTTGTTGTTTGTTGATTGTTGATTGTAGAAAGCCGTGACGGCAGTTGACGATCGGTCAGGCGGCGCTAACCCAAAGCGGACGCAGGTGTTCATCCCTCCCTTTCTCCAATCCATCATCCACTTTCAACCACGCGGTAGTTAGTGGAAATGAATTGACTCTGCCAAATCGTCTTCCTACTCTGAAACACCATAACTTATCCTCCCCCCCCCCTCATGGCTTATAATTAGCACGTCTCCCAGTCAACAATTTAATTTACTCACCGTCTCGACCCGGAGAGCCCCGCCCCATCTCCCGGCCCCAGCCACGGGCGGTGATCCAACGCTAATTGCGCGGCATCTGAGCTAAACCGCCAGGCAGTCAGAATTTCTCCCCATCTGCGTTACTTCTCTCCCTCCCCGCCGCTTACTGTCACCCGGACTCAATTCCGACCACCTCCTCCCTATTTCTACGTGTCTCCGCCATCCTCCACTACTCCCAGCGCGCGACTTTCACCCCTTCCCTCCCCCGTCAATCAATGCTCTTGGGGCACCACCTCGCAGTAACGGTGTCTGCCCGCCCTCAGCGTCATGGCCAGCGGTAGGCCTCCCGGACCTCATCCAGCCGCTGGCCACAACGAGGAACTGCTGCTGGATGAGTCCACTCCCATGTACAACACGGGTCAACGTCCGCCTGTGAACGATGACAACCTGTTGCGACAGTACGATATCGACGACTCCGACCAACCCCAACCCCGTCCCTCCGTTTCCTACGATAGCTTCGTCGGCGGACAGGCTCCGCCGCATTCAGGCGCCCATGCGACTTCCTCTGCGCACCCTCCGGCGCAAACCGGGGGCTACCTCACTGATCCTTACACCGGAGCCGATGTGTCTCGTACCTATTCCCATACCTCCGGCCTGAGCAACTACAACCGCTACTCCCTCGATGAATACGACGACGACCGGTCGCTGCACGGATACTACGATCTGGATGATGACGACATACACCACTCGCAGCCCGACAGCCGGGTTCGTCAGGCGAAGGAGCGGAACAGCATCCTGGGTCTGGGGGGTGGCCTGATGGGCCGAGCGAAGCACATGCTGGGCATGGGGCCCGAGTACTCGGAAATGGATCTCCCCTTGACTGAGTCGGGCGGTCGTGCGGCTCGGTTGGACAGTGCAGATCCGGATGAGGCGGCTGCGACCGGGGCTCGAAAGAAGTCGAAGAAGTCGGACTTCAAATTTGGGTTCGGTCGCAGGAAGGTCGACCCGTCGACTCTGGGACCTCGAATGATCGTTTTGAACAATCCGCCCGCGAACGCCGTGCACAAATTCGTGGACAACCATGTCTCGACGGCCAAATACAACATTTTCACCTTCATCCCGAAGTTCCTGTTCGAGCAATTCTCGAAGTACGCCAACCTGTTCTTCCTGTTCACCGCCGTTCTTCAACAGATCCCGAATGTCACTCCCACGAATCGGTATACCACCATCGGTCCGCTGTTGATTGTGTTGTTGGTGTCAGCCATCAAAGAACTTGTGGAGGATTACAAGCGGAGACTGTCCGATAAAGGGTTGAACTTTTCCAAGACACAGGTACTGAAAGGCTCGAGCTTCCACGAGACCAAGTGGATTGATGTCGCTGTCGGTGATATTGTTCGCGTGGAGTCTGAGCAGCCATTTCCCGCCGATATGGTCTTGCTTGCGTCGTCGGAGCCTGAGGGTCTATGCTATATCGAGACGGCGAATCTGGACGGCGAAACCAACCTCAAGATCAAGCAAGCTATTCCGGAGACGGCGCATTTGGTTAGTCCCGCGGATCTCAGTCGGTTGACCGGGCGCGTCCGATCGGAACAGCCAAACAGCAGTCTTTACACGTACGAGGCCACATTGACTATGCACGCGGGAGGTGGTGAGAAGGAACTGCCACTGGCCCCGGATCAACTGCTCCTGCGAGGTGCGACCCTGCGCAACACCCCCTGGGTGCATGGCATCGTCGTTTTTACCGGCCACGAAACGAAGTTGATGCGAAACGCGACGGCAACCCCGATCAAGCGAACGGCTGTCGAGCGTATGGTTAACGTCCAGATTCTCATGCTGGTTGGCATCCTCGTGGCGCTGAGTGTGATCAGTTCCGTTGGTGATCTGGTCATTCGGCAAACAGAGGGCAGCCAACTCACATACCTCGACTACGGCAGTACCCATGCTGTCAAGCAGTTTGTTTTGGACATTTTCACCTACTGGGTCTTGTACTCGAACTTGGTTCCGATCTCCCTTTTCGTCACCATTGAGATTATCAAGTATGCACAGGCTTTCTTGATCAACGCGGATCTCGACATTTACTACGACAAGACTGATACTCCTGCAACCTGCCGGACGTCATCGTTGGTCGAAGAGTTGGGACAGATCGAGTATATCTTTTCCGACAAGACAGGAACCCTGACGTGTAACATGATGGAGTTCAAGCAATGCACTATTGCCGGTGTCCAATACGGAGAGGATGTTCCAGAGGACCGCCGCGCTACTGTTGAAGACGGTGTCGAAGTGGGCGTTCACGACTTCAAGAAGCTCAGGGAGAATCTCCGCTCCCACCCTTCGTCAGATGTGATTCACCACTTCCTCACTCTGCTTGCGACTTGTCATACCGTCATTCCGGAAAGATCTGAGAAGGAGCCGGGCAAGATCAAGTATCAGGCGGCGTCTCCGGATGAAGGTGCGCTGGTCGAGGGTGCTGCAATGCTTGGCTATCGATTTTCCAACCGCAAGCCCAGATCCGTGATTTTCACGGTGGAGGGTCAGGACTACGAGTATGAGTTGCTGGCCGTCTGCGAGTTCAACTCTACGAGAAAGCGTATGTCGACTATTTTCCGCTGCCCAGACGGCAAGGTCCGTATTTATACCAAGGGTGCGGATACTGTCATTCTCGAGCGGCTGCACCCTGATAACCCGACCGTTGAGGCGACGCTGCAACACCTGGAGGAATATGCGTCGGAGGGTCTACGTACGCTTTGTTTGGCGATGCGTGAGATTCCTGAAGCGGAGTTCCAGCAGTGGTATCAGATCTATGACAAGGCCGCAACTACGGTCAGCGGAAACCGCGCGGATGAATTGGACAAGGCAGCTGAACTCATTGAGAAGGACTTTTACCTTCTCGGAGCCACGGCCATTGAGGATCGCCTGCAGGATGGAGTCCCGGATACTATCCACACCCTCCAGACGGCAGGCATCAAGATCTGGGTCTTGACTGGCGACAGACAGGAAACGGCTATCAACATCGGAATGTCGTGCAAGCTGATTTCGGAGGATATGACCCTGCTCATTGTCAACGAGGAAAGCGCCCAGGCTACCAAAGATAATTTGATGAAAAAGCTTCAAGCTGTTCAGAGCCAGGGTCCTTCAGGCGAGACTGAAGCGATGGCATTGATTATTGATGGCCGGTCGTTGACCTTCGCTCTCGAGAAGGACATGGAGAAGTTGTTCTTGGACTTGGCGGTGTTGTGCAAGGCGGTTGTCTGCTGGTAGGTTTGCCATTATCTTTTGCTCTCACTTTTCTCTTGAGTTTGTACTAATTCAAGAAGTCGTGTGTCCCCCCTGCAGAAGGCCCTTGTGGTCAAGCTGGTCAAACGCCACCTCAAATCCTTGCTTCTGGCGATCGGTGACGGCGCCAACGACGTGTCTATGATTCAGGCCGCCCATGTCGGTGTTGGTATCAGTGGTGTCGAGGGTTTGCAGGCCGCACGGTCTGCAGACGTGTCGATTGCCCAGTTCCGCTATCTGCGAAAGCTCCTTCTGGTCCACGGGGCCTGGAATTACCACCGTATCAGTCGAGTGATCTTGTACTCGTTTTACAAGAATATCGCTCTCTGTATGACGCAGTTCTGGGTAAGTCATTCTTGCTAGTGAGTCGGCCTTTACTGACGATGCATAGTATTCTTTCCAAAACGCTTTCTCTGGCGAGGTTATCTACGAGTCGTGGACACTGTCGTACTACAACGTCTTCTTCACCGTGCTTCCCCCTTTCGCCATGGGCATTTGTGATCAGTTCATCTCTGCGCGGTTGCTGGATCGCTATCCGCAGCTGTACCAGATGGGTCAGAAGAGTCTCTTCTTCCGCCGACACAGCTTCTGGTCCTGGATTGCCAACGGGTTCTACCATTCGTTGCTCCTGTACATCGTCGGACAACTCTTCTTCATCTGGGACGGTGCCCAGGCCGACGGCAAAACCGCCGGTCACTGGGTTTGGGCCGAAGCTCTGTACACGGCTGCGCTGGCGACGGTGCTGGGCAAGGCGGCCCTGATCACGAACATCTGGACAAAATACACCTTCATCGCGATCCCCGGCTCGATGATCATCTGGCTGATCTTCCTGCCGGCCTACGGCTACGCGGCCCCGGCGATCGGCTTCTCGACCGAGTACTACGGCACGATCCCGGTGGTGTTCAAGTCGCCGACCTTCTACCTGCTGGTGGTGATCCTGCCCTGCATCTGCCTGCTCCGCGACTACGCGTGGAAGTACGCCAAGCGCATGTACTTCCCGCAGCACTACCACCACGTGCAGGAGATCCAGAAGTACAACGTGCAGGACTACCGGCCGCGGATGGAACAGTTCCAGAAGGCGATCCGCAAGGTGCGGCAGGTGCAGCGCATGCGCAAGCAGCGCGGGTACGCGTTCAGCCAGGCGGACGAGGGCGGCCAGATGAGAGTTGTAAATGCTTACGATACCACGAGAGGAAGAGGACGCTACGGAGAAATGACCAGCTCGCGAGCTCTAGTGTAACGATTGTCTGTTTTGCTTTTGTGGCCTTTTGATTTTCCTTCTTTGTATGTCTAACTTTTGTCTCTTTTGGGGGGTGACGATGAAGCCTGATGTGGCTGTTTGTGTTTTGTTGCGTGTATTTACTCGGAGACGGCTCTATGAGACAATGTGAAATATGGTATGGTTTGACTCTCCCCTCCCCCTCCCCCTCCCCTTTGCTTTTAGCCTCACAGTAACCCGACCCTAAGACCAACAATATAACTATCTGGGGGAGAACCCCCAGACCCCCCTTCTTTTCAGCTTCCCAGTAAACTCAAGACCAAGACCCTTAGGGCTTCCCTTCAACTCCCCAGTTTACAAAATTACGAAGTGATAATAAAATCACCGAGTACACCTCTCCCCCGGCCCTCGGAATCCAATGCCCAACCCCTCCATAACCAACCGTTCCCTCTCCTCCCACGTCTCTCCCGCCCCCTCCAAATCCACCACCAACCCCCCGCCCCCCCGCTCGCGCACCCCGCTCGAATCAAACTTCCACCCGCGCTCCTTCTTCACGAACCGCCGCAAGTCCCGCTCGAACGTCTTATCCCCGGACCACCCCAGCACCGCGCACCCCACCGTCCGCCACGGCGAGATGATGATGTCCACGCGGCGGTGGGGATTCCCCTTTCCATTCTCCAGAGTATACCCGGTGGAATGCGCATCCCCACCCTCCGGGCGTGGATCAGGATGCTGCCAAACAACCAACCCCTTGTCCAGACTATCAAACATCTTGCGGCCGACCGCATTATCCGCACGGTAGGGGATCGTCGCCTGCTCGCGCGCAGAGTGCCCCTGGTGCAGCGCCAGCGTATGCGTGATCCAGCCCTCCGCCTCCAGACTGCGCAGCACCGCCCCGATCAGGTTCTTGGTGGCGTCCTCGTCGCGGTGCGTGAGGATCAGGTCCACGTCGCCCGAGAACGGCTTGCCGCGGCGGTGCGAGCCCGTGATGATGCACTCGACCCCTCCTCCCCCTTCATCTTTATTGTCAGAGTGTGTGGTGATAGTGGTTGGGTGGCGGTGGCTGCGTTGCTGTTGTTTCCGAAGATCGATGACGGCGTTAGCATGCCGCCGCACCACGGCCGCAATGCCCTCCACCTCCTCCCGCGGAATCCCCTCCTGGAATTCATCGTAGAACTTCACCCCGATCTGCTGCACCCGGCTCAGACTGTCCCACCCGTACTCGATGATATCATCCAAAGACCGCCACCCCCGCTGGAAGTAGAACTCCCGCGCGGTTTTGGCCCCCACGCCCCAGATGTTGTAGAAGGTGTGCAGGGTGGCGAGGGTGGGGTCGTGCGTTAGCGGGTGCGTTGCGGTTAGTCGCCCTCCTTGGGGCTGGGGTGCACCCGGTGTGTCTTGCCCGAGATTGGCGGGAGATGGATCCGGTGGACGCGGTGTATTCTCCCCGCTGGAGTTGGAGCTCGGGCTCAGCTGCTGGAACTCGTAGAATAGGTTCGCGATCTTGGCATCGCACCCTGGTAATGCTGCTACTTCGGCGGGTCGGCGGAGCGGGTAAGGGTATGCGGCGAGGCTGGCGATGGCGGTGCTGTAGGCGCGGACGCCGATTTCGTCCAGGGTGAGCTCGCGGATGTGGCGGATGGTGAGGAGTTCGTTGATGAAGGCTTCGTTGGGTGGGTGGAGCGGGGTGGAGCGGAGGCAGGCGTAGGTGTTGTGGGGCGCGGTTATCCAGGATGGGGGAGGTGGGAGATTGCCTAGGTCTTCGGCTTCGGAGGTGGTGGTGCGGTGCAATTTCGGGGGGTGGGAGGTGGCAGGGGGCTGGGTTCGGGGGTGATGTTGTTGCTGGTGGTGGCGGGGTTGGTAGGGGCGGGTTCGTTGGGGTGCTGGGGGCTGCATGGAGGCGTCTGCTTTGGCGCGGGCGAGGATTGATGTTTGCGTTTGCTTCGTTGGGGGTGGGCTGCGGTGGGCTGGACGCTCGATGCGTCGCGCGTGGTAGACTGTGTACTCCTCGGTTGGGAGGATGGTGTTTGTGCGCAGGCAGGCGTGGAGCCACTCCAGCTTGACGACTGTCAGGGTGGAGGTGTCTGGGGTTGGTTTGGCAGGTGCGTGGAGATGCGTAGAGGAGGCATGGCTGCTCATCCCGTCTTCCTCGTCCTCTGTCTCCGTGCTGAGGTCGATAACCTCCGCTTCCCCCGGGGCGGACGCATAGGCATTGCCTCGGCGGCGTTTGGCCGGCGGGGGCTTTGAAGACCCTTGGGCTGGCTCAGTCCACACGCCCAGCGTGCGCAGTTCCAGTGCTGCGCGTTTGGGCTGGCTGAGCTTGCCGAGGATGAGAGCGGCCTCGTCGATGTCGTAGGTCAGCCGTGCGTTGCGGCGAACGAGCTCCTCTTCGATGTCGTGGAGGGACTCGATGGTGAGGTGCGTCTGCAGGACGAAGATTGGCGGACAGGCCGAGAAGTCGGGGGTCGATGGGTCTGGGTCGTCGTTTCCTGAAGGAGAGTCTGTCTCGGACATGCTTGATATGTACAGCGGGGGTTATGTCATGGTCTTATATAGTGTAGGTTATATCGCTCCGAGTATATCCCACATTGTTATATCCCACATGGTGGATATAGACAGAATGTACATAAGAGACGTATCTAAGGAATAGTGCGAATATACTGCGTTACTGCATGTTCAGTTAGGATGTGCTTGAGTAGTGTCAAAAATTGGCGCTTCAGTTGTGATGACTGACGTCAGTCAAGTCTTCTGCCTCAGGCATCAACTTATGCCTCAGTGGATCCGGCATTTCACCTAACAGGCTGACAGCCGATACCGGCAAGTTCAATAATGCCTGAGGTGTCGATCTATCCAATAATATTCCCCACTGTTCCTCTATTATGATCACCCTCAATCTATAGAGGCTGGCTGTAAAGCGTTCCGGGGGAGAACCCCCGGACCCCCCTTCCTTTCAGCTTCCCAGCAAACTCAATATATATCCTATAATATAACTATCTGGGGGAGAATCCCCAGACCCCCCTTCTCTTCAGCTTCCCAGGACCCGATAAACCTCTCCATAACTCTCCAGAAATAGTGTGTAACCTCCTCCCCACTCGAATATCAAGTCCATAAATGCCTCAGGTGTCAATATATCCAATAACAATCAAAACTTTTCCTCTATCATAAACATCCTCCATCTTCATTCAAAGGCTGGCTGTGAAGCGTTCCGGGGGAGAACCCCCGGACCCCCCTTTCTTTCAGCTTCCCAGTGAATCCAATCCAAAGCCAAGTAATAATATAAGCATCTGGGGGAGAACCCCCAGACCCTCCTTTCTTCCAACCTCCAGTACCCTATTGCAGTAAATCACCCCGAAGGCCCCCCAACAGGCGCAACCGAAGCCGTAGCCCCCTTCCCCCCAGACCCAGATACCCCCTTCCCCACCTCTTCCCTTTCCTCACCAACCATGCCCTCCCCATCCGCAACCTCATCCCGATACCCAGCCTCAGAACCCTCAACATCCACCCCAAACCCCCGTCCCTTCCGCCGAGCCACCCACCGCCTCCACGGCCCATAAACAACAACACTCAGCCCCCCAATCACCAAAAAGCACCCACAGATCCCCCCGCCAATGGCATCATAATAATCCCCCGCCACCTGCACGCCGTCCCAGAACCGGCCGGTGGGGTTCGCCACGTTCAGCACAAGGGTCAGCACCTGGATGACGCCGATGACAATGGCCACGACCACCGTGAGGCAGGTCAGCACGATCGAGTAGTACAGGAACGCGACGGGGTCGCGGTGGTTCTTCTGCTGCTGCTCGGCGTCATGCTCCTCCGGCCCGGAAATGAGGGGCGCGTCCGACGCGGCATCGCTCTTCGGCGGCAGGAAGTTGGCCGACGGCTGCACGTACAGCGAGAGCATCAGCGCGCCGTCCGTCGTGTCGAGGAGGCACATCCCCGCTGGTTCTCTGCGTTAGCTTTACCATGTCTATGAGGAGGGTGATGGAAGGGACGGTACCGGTAAACAGCGCCGGGAAAATCAGAATCACCCAGAAGTTCGTCCCCTTCGCCGCCTCGACGGACGAGATCCCCAGCAGGGCGATCTCGGAGGAGGTGTCGAATCCTAGCCCGAACAGGACGCCCAGGGGGTACATTTTCCAGGGTCTGCATCGTCATCAGTATGTTTGATCTGCAGAATGAGAATGGTGGTGGGAGGGCAGTACCGATCAATCAACTTGAACATCCGCTTCAGCACATTGAACAACATCCCGCCCCCCTCGATCTTCCAGATCTCGTCCTCCCGGTCTTCCGGCAGATTCAGCACCTTCTGCATCTGCCGGTACAGCTTGTACAGGATGTAGGCGTTCATTAGCCCCAGCAGAATTAAAAAGGCGGCGCTGACGGACGTGCCGATGATGCCGCCGATGGTGCTGAAGCTGTCGAAGCGCGAGGAGATCGCTGCCGCGGTGGCGGCTACGACGATGGAGGTTATGATTACGATTCTGCGGGGGATTAGTATCATTATCAATAGGGGATGGGGACAGGAACAGGAGAAGTACGTGGAATGACCCAGCGAGAAGAACGTCCCCACGGTCACGGGTTTCTGGCCGGTCGCCAGTAAGCGCCGGGTCATTAGGTCGATGGCCTTTATTTGTTTTAGTCATATTTTACATGAAGAAGAGAGGAGGGGAGCGTACCGAGATATGATCCGCATCAAAGGCGTGTCTCAGGCCGAGGGTGTAGGAAAGCACGGCGTTGGAGACTAGGGATCTATTCCCCGAGCCTAAGGTCAGCCTCTCTGCTATAGTACCATTGGCGTGCAAGTAGGGCTTACGGATGGTATCGCTGTCGCGTTCATTAGCATCCAAACAACCTAGACACAGCATAGATAAGTGGGGGCACGTACCAGCACAATCGCCGCGGCAATCCACACGACCACATTCAGGAACGCAATGAACAGGATAATCCCGATTGCTGGCAGGGGGATCTTGCGGATGCCTGGCAGTCGGCGGTGGGATTTCTCGGCCTGCCGGACGAGGGCCTTGGCGGTCCATCTGCTGCGCCCGGGCGTGTCGTTGTCATTGACCGTGCTATCCACGGGGTCCGGGGAAGGGTCCCGCATGGTTGGAGGGAGCAGCCACGGGGACTCGGTCAGCTATTGAAGCTTGATTGTTGTTGTTGTTGTTGCTGTAGTTGTTGCTGTTTATAAGAATTGGGGACGGCGTGCTGATGAAATCGGTGGTAGTCCGTGGTCAACGTGCGGGGGAGGAGGACATACGGCAGGATTTGAATGTTCGAGAGGAGGGGCAGTATGCAGGAAAACTGGTTTTGATAAGGCTGCGATAAGAATTTTTAGATGGGGGAATTATCAATCCCAACAACCAGTGACAACGTAGTGGATCACCTGCGAGGAATCGGCTTCATGGTGACTGGTTAGTTGGTGAGTACATACTTCGATAGCTACTGGAGGTTCGGTGCAGTGGAGCTTGGGAATATTTTCTCCGCAGTGTCGGAGCGGAATGTTTCGGAGGTGCCCGCTGTTGGCCGGGATGGGTTTTGCTTGGCCGATATCGTTGTTTTTGGAGTATGATTTTCGCGGGAAAAAGTCTGGTTGACGCTCTTTTGGTTCTTCACTGAGCTTTATTCATTCTAGATTATAATACATTGAATCAACGTGGCTAGGAGCCTTCACGGCAATTGCCATGCCGGGGGGCGCCGATTTCTTTCTTCCCCGCCAAGCTTCTAATGTACAAGACAGTCCTTGGCATGGACTAAGGTTGGAGTCATTCATTCTTGACTCCAAGCAGCACGATCATCTATGCCACCATACCTATCGGGTTTCCCAAATGGCACTAAGCCGTAGTAGCCTCCCCTTCCCATCCATGCTTCATCGACCCGACTCATCAACCCGATCATTTCGGAGTCGGGATGCTGACCTGCGATTCCGGCGGGAAGTTACCCCACAAAGCTACGGCCTGTTGGTCCGTTTGCCGACATACTCGGGTAGCTCCACCAAACCAAGGCATCAATGGTCTCGTTGGTTGGATGCGACCGTGGCAAGTGGAGTGTTTCAACTGCCAATCCTGCCGGGACATGGTTAGTATAAAAAGTCTTCAAGACACCGTCTCGAGGATTCTCACCTTGGTCCTGGTGGGAGTATGGCTTGGGTGTAGCAGCTCAGTTCCGCTTTTGATTGTGCACTTCAACTTCTACTCTGTTGAAGACGAAAAGAAATGATGTTTATTCTTGGACAGTCATGTTCATCACGCTGCAGCCATAACCGTAGGAGAAGGCGTCCATTTGGTGACGGTCGCTTTAGTGTGATGAGGGAAGTCCGGCCCGATCACCATGTTCCACTCATTCTGAGTGATAGGGGTGACATCCGACGCAGACAAAGGCGTCTTGGGCCCGCGCTTGCTGGGGATCACGTATCTGGTGGGCGGAGGGCCCTGGCGACGGATCGCACGGGTCGAGCGCGGCGACTTGCGCGGCTGCTCACCCTTGCGAAGCTGCTCGGCCTTCCGCGGAGGCTCGGCCTTGGACTGTGGGGGCAGAATGATGCCGTCCTCGTTGTATTGCTTCTGGTAGGCGTTGGCCACGTGGGTGAGGAGCTCGTCCGACACGTTCAGCTGCTCGTAGACGCGGTGGAAGAAGGCCTTGCTGAACGGGCGACCGTGGAAATCTTGGATAGTGCGATGCAAGAGCTGCGTGCAGGACGTGATGTATGATTCTTCGGGGGCCACGCCTCGGTTGGAGAGGATGCACAGGCGGCGCTTGAAGGTGTAGATCCGGTCGACGTTGAGTAGCGTCAGGCCCTCGCGGCTGAAGATCACCTCGTTCTGCATGATGGATTGCTGCTTCAGGTAGTCATTGGCGGCGCTCTCGTACAGACTTCGATTCAGCGCATCGATCCAGCTTTGACCCAGGGAGAACTTGATGGCTGCTTTGGCCACCATTCGGTAAACGATCGGCCAGGTCATGGCGTCGAGCGGGGTGATGGGGATGATGATGAGGTCGGAGGGCTCGCCGGTCGGGTAGGGCTTGCCCCGGCCCACCAGGAGCGTAACGTGCATCATCTTCTGTTCTAGCTTGGCGGAAATGTACTCGAGAGCCGGGATGATAGAGGGGGTGAGGGTCTCCGAGTCAAAATTGAAACTTGGGGAAAGAGGGGACGAGATCATATCAGGACTGAGACTTCGGGCTGGCACATAGACGCCCGCTGGGCGAGGTAGACGCACGCCAACCATGGTGACAAAAAAGGAGTGAGACTTTAATCAAGATAGCTGAGTGTGGTAAGGTAGGACCACTTTCAAGTCCAGGCCACACTGACAGTTGGGCAAAGAGCATGAAGATCACGGCCTGAGGAGGCAGGCAATGCAGGAAATATAACCCTGTGTGTTGATGGTCAGGGTTCAAAGAGGGGTAAGCCCGGCGACGGAGGCAGACCAACGCGGCCCCCCCTTCATCTCCCCCAAATTGGGTTATTTTCGGAAATCTAATGATAGCAAATTCCCTACGACCACAGCCAATAGATCCCAAAAGTCGAGGACCCGAGGAAACGGAACCCAATGGGCGGAGGGTTAAAAATACATTTAAGCGCCCGTCGTGTGCCGTCTCCAGCATGGCTGCAGCCGCTTATGCACGTTCCACACCGTGTTCCCGTGGTCATTGGTGGATTCGGCAGATGGAAATTGACCCTCCGGGCATCTGGTTCTGACGTCTTGCTCAGGGACAGCACCACTGGATGTAGTGTTGGGATCCACATGAGGCCAGCAGCGACGGCGTCCTGGATCTGCAGCTCGCCGAAAAGGGCCATCAGCCACTACAGGTCCTGGGATGGAGGATTAGTTAGCCGTGAAGGCATCCCCATTCGCGTCACCAGGAACCCAATCAACGGCAATGTTACACGCCCGCCCCCGCTGTGATTGCTTTCGGAGAACTAGCGCAGCAGCTGATAAGAAGTTGCAGGAACTATTGATTTCCTGCAGATGCACGGCGGTATCTTTGAGGCCTTGAGAGGGTGGGCTCTGGGATGGCGTGGGCAAGGTTCACATTACCCCGCTCGAGGCATTGGATCGCGTTGTCATGCTTCCTCATAGGATTGGATCTGGACCTCATAGAGAGTTCCGGGTGTTGTCACAAGGCTGGATGGACCAGAGGATACCCGACGGATGTGATCAGAATGCGAGAGTCGGAAAATGTGGCTTCCATACGGTCGGGACCTTTGCCGCTGGTGAGATGGCAGGATGATGTGTGCAGTCACTGCAGTGGCACCCGTAGAATGTGGATCGGACGATAACAAACTGGACCGGACGGGTAGTCCCACTTCTGTCAGGTGGAGCAACTTGACGATGACGATGTAGAGATCTATACAAACTTGAAGAGGGCGGAGAATGTCAATAGAAAATATTTGCGACCTGTCAAGTGAAGGTTTTTGACATCCATGTTTTGGCTGCTTACTCTCCTTGGTGGTGGCCTTCCGCAAGGCTGGCACAGTAGGGAATGCAGGTAGTCGTAACTAGTTGGTGGTCACCGTCACCGCCCGGTCATTTCTTTCAGTCCCCGTCATCGACTGTCCCTCTTCATCCTTATCTTGCATCCATCAACCAACCACTCATCATTCCACAGAACGGTCAAACCAACACCACTCAGTCCATCACCAACATTCTCTAGCTTCATCACCGGTTGATTACCAGAAAATGCCGCTCTCCCAACACACCGCGCTCCCCCACGTCGCCAACGCCTTCGGCACCATCTTCATTGGGTTCGGGGTCAACGCGCTTCTCCGCCCCGAGCATGCCTTGACCTTCTTCGAATGGGCACCTCCCACCACACTCCCCGAGCAACAATTGGTCAAGAGCCTCGTCCACATCTACGGTGTCCGCGATATATTCATGGGTCTCGTCATTTACGCCGCCTCCTTCTACGGGACGCGAAAGTCGCTCGGGTGGACGTTGCTGGCTGGGAGTGCGGTGGCCTATGCCGATGGGGCGGTCTGTTGGACATGGGGGCAGGGACAATGGGGCCATTGGGGTTATGCTCCGTTGATCACGGCGGTCGGCGCTGTGCTGGCTGGGCTTTTGGACTGAGTTTAATTGACAAGGGAGTCGCCTCAGCAGTCTGGTATGATGAAATGTGAACATCGTATGCGAATCAATCTTCGATGTGGAATTTTAAGCCAAAAGGCTTGAGAGGGCTCGCCTTCTGTACTGTAAGTTGGGTATAATTGAGTGGACTATAATGTCCTCACGAGGCTGCATGCATTGTTAGTAATCACCCTTGCCAAGGCGATCAAGCCTCGTTGACCGACCGGAGCGTCCCAGTCCCCAGCAGTTGTAGTGTCTTCATTGATCAACTTGTTTTGATAAAGAAGCCTGCATATTATGACTCAAACCATGAGCGAATCAGACAGCAACAGGGATGACAATCTTCCCAGCAGACAGGATACCACATTCGGTGGGATATCTGATCCGACTGGCGAACCCGAGTACCCAACGGGCACCAGATTCTGGCTGCTCATGCTCACCCTGGCTGCGGTCCTCATTCTTATCAGCATCGACATGAACATTGTTGCCACAGCCGTTCCCAGTATAACTGACCATTTCCACACCATTGCCGATGTGGGCTGGTATTCTTCCGCCTTCCGGCTCTGCCAGTGCGCCTTCCAGTTTGTTTTTGGTAGAGCGTACCAGCTCTTTTCAATCAAGCGTGTCTTCCTGCTCGCCAACGCCATCTCGATAGCAGGCTCACTGCTCTGCGGTGCGGCCACGACATCGCTCATGCTTATCGTTGGGAGGGCAGTCGCCGGCCTCGGCACGGCGGGCTTACTGGCTGGATGCTTCGTGATCCTCGTCCACTCCACACCTCTCCACAGACGGCCCATGTTCACAGGAATAATGAGCGCCATCGAAGGGCTGGCCACGCTCTCCGCACCCCTCCTCGGTGGAGCGATCGTGCAATCCATCGGCTGGCGCTGGTGCTTTTACCTCAACGCGCCCATCGGCGCCGTTACCCTGCTATTGACGATGTGCTGCTTCTCCGACCCGCCCAACCCCGACCACACCACCCATCTTACCTTCAAACAAAAGCTCTCCCAGCTCGACCTTCTCAGCAACCTCCTCTTCATTCCCGCCCTAGCCAGCCTCTTTCTGGCTTTCTCCTGGGCCGGAACCAAGTACCCCTGGTCCAGCGGCCCGGTCATTGGACCCCTTGTCGCCTTTACCGTCTTGATGGGCGGCTTCATCTACAACCAACACCGCCAGGGCGACACGGCCGCCCTCCCCCTCCGCATCCTCAAACACCGCAGCATCATCGCCGGCAGCACCTTCATCATGTGCGGCAACAGCACCGGCAACGTCCTCGAATACTACCTGCCCACCTACTACCAAGTCGTGCGGGGCTACACCCCGGCCCAGAGCGGGTACATGATGCTGCCCATCATCATCGCAGGCACCATCGGCGCCTTGGTCCACGGCTTCGGCACGAGTGTCTTTGGCTACTACGCCCCATTCATGGTGATCGCCTCGATCATCATGCCCGTCGCGGCAGGGCTGATCACCACCTTCGAACTCACCACCAGCCTCGCGCAGCTGATCATCTACACTGCTTTTTCTGGATTAGGATACGGGATCGGATTCTCGGGCCCGCAGAACGCCGTGCAGACCGTTCTCCCGGCGGAGGATATCCCGCTGGGCACGTCGGTGATGCTGTTCGCGCAGTCTTTCGGGCCGGCGGTCGCGGTGGCGATCGCGCAGGTGCTGTTCGTGAGTCAGCTGTCGCGGAATTTGGGGGAGGTTGTGCCCGGGCTGAGTGCAGCGGAGGTGGATCGCATGGGGCTGACGCAGATCGTGACGGGGTTGGCGTCGGACAAAGCGGCGGAGGCGCGCGGGGCGATCGATCGGAGTATTGTCCAGACGTGGTATCTGGTCGTTGGGCTGGCGTGTGCGACGGTGGTGGGGAGTTTGGGAATTGAGTGGCGGTCGGTGAAGGCGAGGCGCGGGTAGACTTACCACCCTCTATACATCATTTAATTCGGACGGAGGTTCTACCGCTGTCGGTATGATAAGTGCAAGGGCTGACTCGGAGGCTTCATCCTCAGGAAAGATGGCGCTCACCCCAAGACTCCGGACTAGAAGATGCGCTCGATGCGTTGGTGATCGGACACCGCGTTCGCCTCAGCACAGCATTCTCGTAAGTGGGAACGGTAAAGCCACAGCCAGCCTCTCTGCTTGAAGCAAACCGCTGTTCTGGAGGGACTAGTTCACTAAGTACCAGCGCTGGCTGGGTTCTTCCGACGAAGAAGGGTGTTTCCACTCACTCTCATCCCAGTGTCGTTCCCCCACATCACGAGCTAGGACTCTAAGACTTGCAGTCTTTTACAAGCCTTATGGAGACTTTCTCTTCTTGGGTTTCACCATCCGTGACTTGTCGCGGGTGTGTGGTCCTCGTTCTTGTTGCGACAACATCCAATGCCTCAGGCAGAGTTGAATGTCCTTGCCTCAGGTCACTGATCTGGCACAGTCTCGTTTTTGATGGGAGAATGGTGCAAATGACGGGGATGCGAAACTGCTCAACGGCATTCCCCTTATCGGCGAGGACCGACTTCAGTGCGTGCGGATCGAAGGAACGTAGATTTCCACAAGCTCGACCTGGCGAATTAGGCGGGTTCGTACACCGTCGGTTGTTTTCCATTGCGTGACCGTCAACAGTCCTCGGTCCTTGTCGATCAGGTATACGAAATTCAGATTTTTGTGCAGTGCGGAGGGGAATGGGACTAGCTGCCAGGGCTTGAGGTTGTATGCTTCAGAGGCCATGTGACGGATGGCTCTTAGCGTAGCAGATGCTTTTTGGGGAGATGGCGCAGGGTGGGTGGAAGAAGCAGTACCACCTTCCTGCACAGGGCCAGAGATACAGTGCAGTACATGCCATATATTAGCAAGAAATATTGATTCAGCTCACCATCCACATGTTGATTGCATAGGCCTCGGTTGCCCATTGTTGCAATAGATAATCACCTATCCGTCTCTCTTATCAAACGATAACTTGAGCAGGGCATTGATCACTGGGCCAAGAACCGTGCGCTCTGCGCTGTCGTCTGCAAGTTACTATTATCTATCCGTTCCGAAAGTAACCCAGAACCACATCCTCGCCGTCCACCTCTCTATTCCGCTCAAACGAGCCTTTGCAGCAATGTCGTTTTGGCAGTCGTCCGCGTACGAAGCAGGGTCTTGATAGAAAGGATCCTTCTGGTAACACTTCAAGTCCCACCGAGAGGATTAGCCACGGACAACGTGTTGGGGGTATTGAATTTATCTTTTACTGATATAAGAAAGGGTATACAAGTTGACGGCGGATCTGGAGGCCGCTTCGACGATGCTTTCGGCCAAGGGAGGAACCAGCAGGTCAGGCCCTCGTCTTTCTGCCCAGATAGCTCCATGTAGCTGAATTAATCACAAATCCACTTCCTCCTTGACAAGCAGGCGCGAAGAGATCCACGTGACCCACCGGATCTCGGGTCCTGCCTTACTCTGCACCTGCCACTATTGTGAGCCGGCAATGATGCAACCGAACGGAACCATGAAGCAATGATGCCATTCTGACCGGAAAGCAAAATGGCTCGTTTCCCACCAGATTTGTCCGAAACAGAGGTCTCTCGTTACACCTAGAACAAAGCACATTCTTCCAAATATCTCGCACTCATGCAAGCCCGGCAGTTCCATACAGAATGACTTGTCTTTCCATGATACCCACGTTCGCGAGAGGCAGTCGCCCCCCCGATTATGAGAGCCAGCCCAACCGTTCGATGTCTAATGCTGAAGCGTCGAGAATATTCCACGTCCCCGAGATTCTAGAAGCTATTCTTCTGGGTCTGGACATCTACACACTATTGATTTCAGCTCGAGTCTGCACTCATGGAACTCCCTTATCAAATCCTCCCGCAAGATCCAGCAAGCACTGTTCTATATTCCCGTCGAAACGCCGGTGCCACACCACCCACGCACCAAGAACCCGTTCATCACCGACATAATCTGGCCCGAGTTCATCCACCGCCAACTACTCTCATACACCCGACCCGGAACCGCCTGCTGCTTCGAGATCCCGGACATGGCGTCCAAAAAGCGCGAAGCGGCGTATCTCCGGCCCGAGGCCAGCTGGCAGAACATGCTTCTCCAGCAGCCGCCCAACTGCATTGTCCGTCTGTGAAACCCGAGACGTTCCGACGTGCGGTACCACAATTATAGCGATACCGCCGACAGCCTCGTGCGGTGGAAACCGAAGGGAGACTACCTCCGATTGAAGCATGTGGTATACTACATCGACGCGGGAGCATTTACACCATCCCCTTGGCCGTTCCTATGCTTTGTTAATGGATGGGAACTGCATAGGGTCGTGAGGAAGCCTGAGCGACGCGATAAAATGAAGAGGAGCCCCGATCTCGGGCGGTATTTGGCCAGTTTTGATCTTACTGTCAACACCGCTTCTAAGGGCTGTTGGCCGGTGGTGATTACTCCCCCTGACCAACCTCGACGGACGGGCCGTTCGATCTATCTCCCTTCTTGGTTCAGCCGAAGGGATGTGAGATTATTGGAGGACGAGTTATGCTAGCCTAGTTTGTGTTGTTGACCTACTACCATCACTAGTCTTTGTTCGCTTGGCTGGGTCATTCTCCGTATGTTAGAAAGGATTCTGAGATTTCATGTTCCCTTTCAGTGTAAGCATGATGTTCCTGAGGTGTGAGCCATGCTAGCTTGACCTCAGTTGCTGTTCGATTAGTACAATCATAAATATCAGTTCTTCTGTGAATTTGCGAATTCTTTGTTCGTATCTCTGGTTCGAGATCTGCGAGTTGTCATCTACATCCGGTCAACAAAAATCAGCATAAGCAACTCTCGAAGAAAGTGAAATATCTAGCCAAGGCGAACATTCAGCCCTTGAAACAACCAGGACAATGCGTGACAGAGACTTGAACTCCGGTCATCTGCATCTTGTGTTGGTCCCATTGGTGATTGTCGTGACTTGGGGTGACTCATCATTGGGCTCTGTTGGACACCTTATCCATGCTGCCGGTGGTGCTTTGTATAATGCTCCTACGGCTTCTTACAGCTGCTATTGGATATGCGCTATGAACTAGCAAACTTTGTTTCTATTTCAGCTATCCGGTATGGATTCATATCCCAGGTCTCTAGAGATGCGTTGCACTCCGAATGATTCATTTTCCGAGAGTTTGTGGTTCTGCTTCTGGGGTGAGACATTACCGCAAAGGCCGAACTCGGCATGGTCTCCGATGCCACTGTCTCAACCATTTCTTTCAATGCCGTCTCTATCGTCATGTAGAGACACGGGAGAAATATGTCGGGGATGTGTCCGGACTTGATGTCCATGTAAGGAGCCTTTAAATAAGAGTGAGGAGATTGGACCATTCACGCGAGTGCATATTCTTTCGGGTCCACTACTACTATGTCTGTGATCAAGCCACGTCTAACGGTGTTGCGGCAACATGCTATGTTCTTTTTTTGTAGCTCGCTTTCTGGTCATTGTTCAGATAGCCCACGCACGGCCGTCATCCCGTGGCTCCTACCGCAGCAGGGTGGATCTGAGCGCGGTTCGGGTCCCCTCACGGGCCGAATATGTGAGCTCTGCTGCGATTGCGGCAGGGGACTGGAGAGCGCCTACCTTGCACACCAGAGGACAACAAACTTATCATGAATGTCAGGATTACGACCGAACGCAATCGAGCCCCAAGAGACTAGATAGGTAGTACGTATTAGATGATCACAGGACAGCCCCCATCAGCGCAACCGCCGCGCCCCCAACAGCCAGCCCCGCAGCTCCAGTGATTCGCGAAACACCTCCAGTTGAAGTCCTGGTCACCGTAGCATCACCAGACCCATCTGCACTGGCAGTAGCCGTAGGAGCCGACGTGATCGTGGAACTCAGCGATTCCTGGGATGCACTAGCCGAGTCCGTTGACAGGCTCGCATGCGCCAGGGTAGTGCTCGTCGCGCTCGCTGTCTCCGAAACCCCGCTCCCACCGGTAACAGCCCCAGCGGTAACAGTGGCCGACAGGAAATTCGTGAAGTAGATGTCGATCCCCTGGCCTTGGCCGCTCAGCGTCCGGTGACACACCCCATCTGTCGTACCATCTGCGGTACAGGCCCATGTAGTGGAACTGGAATCGAGGAATGATGTCAGCATGTTTCGAGAAATTCAAGGATTGTAGACAACGTAGTCCGTCGAACTTGAAAAAAAAAAAAGGGGGGGGGGGGGCCGAGGGGGTGGTATTCATACTATTGTCGACGCCACCACGCATACGTGCTCTGGTCAACGATCTCCGCGGTGATCCCCGCGCGGCCGATGGAGCAGGCGGACCCAGACACGGGGGTGGGGCAGGCAAGGCTGTAGGTTGTTGCTGTTGCGTCCTGTCCATATTTCTGGTTAGTGTTTCCTTTGATGTTTCTTGTTTTTGCTTATTGAGTGCTATGTATATGCTGAGGTGAGATGAACTTACATTGCCCACGATCGACGCTTCATAGTCCTGATCGCGATCCACGGCCCAGAGGAGCATGGAGACGACCTCCTCGGCGACGGTGAGACCGGCCAATGCGGGGAGGAGGGTGAGTGCGAGCTTCATGCTGTCTGAACTTCCGCACTGTGGGGAGCTAGTAATGAATGAATGAAAGTGAAATAAGTGTAAAAGAGTGGATTCGCAGCGGGAGTAAACGAGTGGAGTTGATCGCTGACGCTCAACCGGACAATCTTGAAAGCTAAAGGGGAAGCAAGGGATTTAAGTACTCTATCTAGATGTGATTTCTAAGTCCCCAAGACCCTTGGCAGAGTACTCCATAACTTCAGACGAATCAGGGCGAGCACGAGGCTATAGCGCGAGTCGGAGCGAACCGCTTATCTCCACACCTTGGGCTCAGCTCGATTCAGGGGGTCCTGCCGGATCCGGTTAACGACGAGGCTGTGAGGATAAGTGTGGATTAGCCTAAAGTCTCAGTCAGATAGTTATGGGAAAGGCCAGCATCGCTTGCAGGTTAGTGTTGGATTAAATGTGGGTTCTCGTCTGGGTTGAAGATCTTGGCGGGGATTAGCGTTGCCCGTAGTGAGAGGGAGTTCAGCTGTCGCTATGGGTTTTGGAATCAGGGCCTAATGCGTGTATTTCCACCGCAACTCTGCTAGTGAGATTTCCAGATCCTGATTCCAAATCCTGATTCCAAATTCTTCCAGATTGATCGAAATTAACCATGAACCAAAATTTGGAGGGCTAGGGCATTCCTGGGGCTGATATAGGGCTGGAATTATGCCTCAGGCACCAAGAAAAGTGGGGCTATCAGTTCGTTTCGAGTACAACTGTACAACAACAGCCGCAATGGTGTAGTGGTATTAACATTGCAGAGCCCCCGTACTAGCCTTATGCTAGCGGTGTGGAGTGCAAATTCTGGGTTCGAGTCCCAGTCGCGGCATTCTCTTGTTCTTTTTTGCCTTCGACCAAAGGGTGGGCGTCATGAGGATGTCATTTGTTATGCAATTCTGCTGTCACGCAAAGGGGGAAAGCTGGAGGGTCGTCATCGGTAGGGCCGGGTTGGCGGGGGCCGTGATGGACAGTGTTGGACTTGTCCAGTCATACTAGTAGTTTCCCCGCAAGAAGCACAACAATAATCTCTCGGAGAATAAAGCATTAGACTCGGTGTGAGGCAGCTCCGGATAGCAGGGATGATTATGTGTCCAGGTTGAGTGAGGGCAGAGAAGGTTTATGGTTATCGCACATTTCCTGTGGTAATTGAAGGAGCTGCAGGAGCTTCGTGTTAAGCATCACCGGCAGCATCGCAGGGTGGACAACGAAGCTCTTTCATTAGGGGCCCAAGTTAACACCAACCCTCCCATGGGACCAACGCACGATGCAGGTGACCGGAGCTCGGGTTTCTGGTAGGCGTTATCCCGGTTAGACTACGAGCTGATCATTGGGAACACACGAAAAAGAGAAAGAGAATGAAAAAAAAAACAGGAAAAGAAAAAACCTTTACTCAGACCAATATATTTCTTAGAGGAGGAGGAGCCAAGTGAAGGAAACAGCACAACCGACTTCGAAAATCTCCCAACCTCTTTACTTCAACATGAGCTCCAATTATCACTACTTCTTCAGCCGGTTCGACCGCCTCAAAACCGCCCCACCCTCAGCACTTATGCGAAAGGTCATGCCGACAGGCCTCCCAAACCTCCGCGCAATCTTCCCGCGCCTTGGGCGGGCTCGCCAGCGTCGCACCGGGGGGTATTCAGCTGCAGGGCCAAGGCTTTGGCCTGGGCCATGCTGACCAGCATCTTCTCCTGGTAGGCCCACCCGTTGAAATCAAGGGTCCGGATGACGGGAAGACGGTGCCAATCGTTGTCGAGCGAGAGGCCGTACCACTGGAACACGGCCTCGATCGGTGCTATGCAGTACTGCCGGTGGGTGCGGTTGCAGGCGAAGCACGAGCGGGAGCAGGTCGGGATGTAGAGGAAGGGGCCGAAGTCGCCGCAGGTGTGGCACCGCGGGTGACGGAGTTCCCGGTAGAGCTGCCCCAGCGAAAAATGGTGGGTGCACTGGGTGAGATCCAGTAGTCGTAGGGTGTCGGCTGCATGCGTTTGGAGAAGGTGGTATTCTGGCAGGGAGTCGATTATCTGTTTGGTGGTCTTGTTGACGGACCGAAGATGGCTGAGGGCCAGCATGTCTAGGTCGAGAAGGATCATTCGGATGATCTCTAGCGGTAGGAGGATCCATGATGACTCTTGCTGCTGCTTCTGCTTCCGGAGAGAAGATGAAGCGAGCGGCTGGTAGCATGGCTGCTCTTGCCGTTGGGCTTGTTGATGCTCGAGGATTTCTTTTCGATAACGTTTCACTGCGCGTCGGAAAGGCGCCCTCGGGACCGAGTAGAGATTGAGGACGTTCATGCCCGGCTCCTCCAGGCGATAGGCTAGCCCAGATGACATCTTGGAGTAAAGATTGGTAGACCAGTGCAGTGGTGTGTCCACCTTCAAGAGACTCATGCTCATATAAGAGCTAATTATGTGATAACTGAATGAGACCTGAGTGAGCTCATATGCGGGGTCCCTCGGTACTGATGGCCGTGCGGACGACAAACCCGGCACCGGTGGGGTAGATACTGTACGATTACTTTACTGTAGGTCACCTGTGTAACGAATTGACCGTTTAGCAGGTATACTTGGATAAACTCGTTCTGATTCTTAATGGCTAACTCGTCATCTGAGCCAAGAACATCACCCTCATCCTCACTTGCCTTATTCCTGTCCTTCTTCCTCCTCCTCCTCCTCCTCGTTCTCCTCCTCCTCAGACAACAATCGCCGCCTCCGAGAACTAGCCATAATCACCGCCCCTCTGCCCACCAAGTGCTTGGCGCAGTAATGGTCTTTCTCGAGCTCGAACACTTTTATCGGGTCACACCTGGCAGTGGTCCCCTGACGGTCATTACACTGGTAGAAATTGTAAGGGTCTTTGATGCGACACCCGTACGCGTACACGAGACGGTAAGAGTGACACCTGGAAGCATTAGCGCGGCCTTTCCACCCCCAAGCACAAGCTGCATACATAGCGAACTTTGTATATGTTGCTGGTTGTGTTTCATTAGCTTCCGATTTCACCTTCAGCGCGAGGAGGAGCGATTACCATAGATCTTGGATCGAGAGGTATCTTGCTTCACGAGAAGGGGTTCACGCTGCCAGCTGCAAAATCTAACGTCCGCTCGGGTTCCTATGAGTTGGGGGACCCCGCGCCCTTTTCAGATTATGTTAACGGAGTAGGCTTGGGCCTATCCCCTTTCCGTGAACGCAGACTAGGAAGCCACATCAATACGGCCGGATTATCGGCAACATATCTGCGTCTGACCGATCGCTTGACACCCAGTTTTGTCATCTTTGTAGCTCATTTCTCTGATGGCTACGAGTATTGAAGTTTCGGAAAAATTGTTAGATAGTTTTAGAATCAAAATCCATAGCAGAATAATATCTGTTCTAATTATCAATCATAAACAGCTGACCAACTCAAAACGCAAAGCTAGCCAGTCTTCTAGTATAGAACCTGAGTAAAGCCAAGCAGATGCAGGCCCTATTGTTCTATCCATTAGGCTGTGTATTCGGGATTCTATCTGCTTTATAAGCTTATAATCCTGCTATTCTCATAATGACTTTGCAAAAGCTTGATGCGTCGTCTAAGCAGCCTGTACGCATTGCCTCTACATAGAAAATCCCCCGGGGTGGCGAGTGCAGGGCAAATGGCCCAGCCCTACCGCCGTTCAATGGTGTCTAAACGGCACCACGTCACAACCCGTTCAACTCCCTGGCAGCCATTTCCAACAGATTCTCATCTCCGGGCACGTTCTGGGTATAGCGCGAGTTGAAGCGGATCAAGCGCTTGACTTGGTTGTAATGCTGGACATCCAAGGACAAGGGCTCCGCGCTGACAAACCACGACACCCCTTCGCTGCAGGGCGGGGTGGTCAGCGAGCCCCCGTAGGTGTAGACATCGTGGCCCTGGAAATGTTTCGTCAAGTCGGAGAAGTCCAGGGACTCGATCTCCGTCGCGGACCCGGGCTCACTGATCGCCTCGACGTCGGCGAACACGGAGCTGAAGAGTGAGTCGCAGTGTCCGGTTTCGGAGAGCTGGAAGACGAAGCCGACGACGGCGATACCGTTGGCTGTAAACAATCTCTGAACACACAATCCAAATCCTTGGTGGGTGGGGACGGATTTGACTCACTCTCGTCGGTGAACACGAAATGCACCTCTAACGGGTAGTGCTCCTCGTCGAGGCGGTGCTCGGAAGGGGTGTGGAAGTGGAACTGCGCCAGCGTGTATTGCTTGCCCTGGGCCGTCAGGGTGCCATTGGGGAGGACGACTTCAAGCGTGTATCCTAGGTTCTCGAACTCGACATGGTCGGCGTCCGGGATGTCCAGAGACACGGCACTGGAATCAATCAGGGTAACGGTCTTCGAGTCGATCGCGATGGGGGACTGCTGTTTGCCCAGGTCACAGGCCGCGTTCGTCTGCGGGTCGAGCCCGTACCAATTCAGGGGGCCCTGCGCGCCTGAGTATCCAAAGCTCGGAGTCCCCGCTTGCGCGGCACGGCGAGCCAAGGTGCGGTCGTGCAGGCAAGCCGTCACCGCTGTGGCTAGGGGTAGGATGGCAAGGAATCGCATTTTTGGAGGGGGAGAAGGGACCTGATTGATTCTGGGCTTTTATTGTACGCGCGGGAATTTGTCTACGCGATGGGGGCTTGGGGTTCGGGGTTCCGCCGGGATGTTATATTGCACCCTGGTGGAATGGCATTCCCCAACCTACATTCCTTACGTAGTCTGTCCTGTCGATCCTCGAACTTTCGGGTCCCTCAATCTTCTGACTTGCGGGACTTTCGTGCGGAATGTGGCTATGTGGAGACAGTTGTAGCTTAGTTGATATCACTTTCTCTTCCTGCATGTTGTTGTGTGTTTATGTTATGACTGACATGCTGCCGACATGGTAGGTTGTGTCGAGACCTGAGCCAGAGACCGGCTGGGGATGAATGCAGGTCGATTCCTTGGCACTTCCTATCTCCATTTCATGTTGTTAGCGATCTATTCCAAGGATTGGGTATGACATTGGTTCTGGGTGAAAATCCCCAATGCAGGACAAAAACCTTTGTGCCGGTCAGCGGCCGATTGCCGAGATATATACACAAGAACTGCCAAAGAACATCATGGATTTCATAGGTTCCTGACGTCGATAGTATCCTAGCACGTGGCTTCGAATCTCCATTTCTGCTCGGCATTAGACTACCGAGTCTTCGGGGTCTTGATAAGGCCAAAGCTTGGAGTACAACTCCCTCTCCTTGTCATTCTCAGCCGTTCCCAGAAAGACGTGCTTGAACTTGCGACTATTCTCCACGGCGAGTTCATAGTCCTTGGGGTCGACCATGACATGTACAGGGAGTACCCCTTGATCTCGAAACAACGTAAGGACCTGTCCAATGCCGTCCATGTTGGTTTCCTCTTCCGCGTGAAGCTCGATCTCCTTCTCTGTGAATGCTATTGGACAGGGTAACTGGAAAAGATCCTCCCAGAGATTGCCCAGCGAAAGGAGTGATTGGCGCAAAAAGAACAGGTTTCTATTCTCCCACACTCCAGTCACCAGCCAGGCAGGTTTTCGGACGATCGGAATCGTTTTCTGCTGAAGAACAGACCAGTGCCGCGGGGCACGCTTGAACACCAGCGCCTCGTAGTATTTATGAATGATCTGGCTCTCATGGTCACTGGTTATTTGATCCTGGTCCTCCGTACTGACAGTGTCAAAGTTCTCGGGGCGTTCGGGAACAGCCCAGCCTTCTTGGACAGGTCCGGGATCTCGGAACATCCTCGGGACATGAGACTGGTAGAACAGAGGAGCCACGCATGCTGACTGCCAGTCTATAATATCGGTAATGGTGTGTATGCGCGGGTCCACAAATACATTATCCAGATGAAGGTCTGGATGCCAGAGGACGTTAGAGCTGGCAGCCCCATCGGTGGAAGAAGGGACCAGGAACGGAGCGACTTTCATGTACTGGTCGAGAAGGTGAAGGCCGTCCTCGAGAAGCTCCGGATCCGATACAGATCGATAGTAATTCATGCGAGGGCGTGCATGCGCTTCAATCCATGAGATCTCGTTGCGGCCTAATGCTTCTGTGTACTCAGATGAATTATGCCCTGTGCGTAAAACGGTTAGCGAATGTTTTACAAAGGAGGAAGGGGTTGGTCCACTGACACGGGCCACAGTCTGATTCCATGTCACTTCTAGTGTCAGTCCATAGCTCGGGTGAAGTAAGGGGGCCGATTGTAAAGCGCTTTAGCACTTCGTCGGCACTTGAGTCATCATTCAGGTCTTCCACCTGTCCAGTTAGTGAACGGTGATCCTCCTTAAAATAGATACTACCGTACTTAGCGAAAGCCATGCTAGTCAGCTTATTCTCCATGCCAACGACTTGCTCAACCAACTTGAGCTTCGTATCACGTGGCCATTGGTTCCAGAGAGAACCCAGTCGCACACCAGCGGCCTTCTCCTCAATGATATACTCCGCCTCAACAGGAGTGCTAGCTGCATCTGAAGACCATGCGAGGATCCGTGGAGTTGGGATGTTGAAATAAGCACGTAACTGCAAGACTGAGCCATCGCAGCAGAGAAATTCAGGGCATGCTGATCTTACCAACTCGCGTGTGGCTACCTCCGAGGCGGTGGTGTATCGGGCTGGTCCGGCGTTGGGATTCGGAAGCTTTGCCAAGACTTCATTTCCGTTGTCCATAGTCAGCAGAAATGCTTTGTTATGCAGGCCCTCTAAGCATTTGACGATCTTTGTGCCTGGGGGAAATGATGAATAAGCTTTACTTCACGACGGCTGCCTGGGGGGGTAGAACATACAGTGTCGAGCTCCATCGCTGATATTGACAGCAATGTCAATGAGCTGCCGCAAGTTGAACTTCAGGTATCGCTTTGAGAGCTCACGCTGTTCGTTGAAGCTGTGATATTGCAAATGGTCACTATGAATTACCATAATGAGGTGGGTACGGTCATCCGTCTCTTACAGCCATCGATGTCTAGTGTATCGATACAGGTCCTCTTCGGGGATGCTCTCATCTAAACCACCTATGTCAGCCACCCAGATATGTAGTCGAAATTTAGCCTCTCTCAAGGGGGACTATACGTATTCCGTTTGCTCTTTCTAAGAATAACTCGGGCAGTGTTGAGGCCGACCTTCGTCCCCTCGCACAATATATCGAGAAGAATCTTGTAATTCGTGACCGCCGGAATGAGGCTTTTAAATTGAGTCCTAGGGTAGTGCGACTTGAGGGCAGTCGCAAAGAATGATACATGCCGACCCTGAAGTCTTCCGAGGAACTCTCTTTTAGAATGTTAGGCCGGCAGTAGAGACAATTGAGGAGAAATAAGGAAATCATCTGACACGTTGTCACACCCTTGACTGTCTGCTTGTAGGCTCCGTTGCTCAGGCAACCGCTCCTCTCACAAAAGCGCTCCGTTGCACTGATATGTTCCCATAGATTGATGTATACCTATAAGATATGCCTATTTTTACCATCAACTCTCATTACTCCCTCTGGATCTTATCATTTCAGACCATTCTCTCCCCATCATATAGTGACCACCGCATCATGCTCTCGCCTTAACCTCTGGAGCATGTTATTGGTCTCATCAAGCCAGTAAATACATCTAACAACAAACACCGCTCAGAGCAGACACCACAGACAATCATGCGATTACGCCTGATAGCTCATCCGTAGGTGCGCGCGAGCTTAAGCTGGTTATACTGCAACGTCGTCAAGCCATCCGTGTACTCCGGGATGGCCCCGGGGCGCACAAACTCAGGCAGCGTATCCACCAGCACATGGCGATCGGGTTTCCCGAAGTACGCCACCGAGTACCGTCGGGGTATCATCGCATTCTCATCGTCCTCCTCAGCTGCACCCTTTGCCTCTGGCAAGGTGACGCGGTGGTTCGCCGATCGCAGCGCTCTGTTCGTCCACCGCTGCAGACAGTCCCCAACGTTGACGATCACCTCGTAGACATTCTCCGATTCAATGGGAATAAACTGCCCCAGTGTCCCGTCGCGCTGATCCTCAACCTGCAAACCGCCCACAGAATCCTGAAGGAGCAACGTCAGGGTGCCGAAGTCGGAGTGCTCGCCGATGCGCATGCCGCCGCCGGCGCGCATCGTGCGGCGCGGGATAGCCGGGTAGTGCAGCAGGCGCAGCTCGCTGGTGTTGCACTGGTGCTTGCTGAGGAGATAGTGGTCGTCGATTGACAAGCCGAGCCCGGCTGTGATGGCGCGCAGAAGGTGGGTGTGCAGCTCGTCGAAGCGGTTGTAGACGTCCTCCATGAACGCGCGGAAGCCTGGGAGATCTGTCTCATCCGGCCAGCGGTTGGGGAAGAGGGTGTCGCTAGCGGCGCCTTGGTCGAAGGATTCCTGAAGTTTCGTGAGATAAGACTCATATAATGCGTTTGATAGGGCAATCAGAAAGGTAGTTCCAACTGATTGAAGGGACTCATACCCGATACTCCTGGTAGCCATCGTTCAGCTTCTTCCCTTGCTCATCGTCCCTCGTACCCTTCAAGGTCTCTTTCCCCACTGCGCTCCATCCGCGATGAGGATTCGGGGCTTCTGGATGTGCCGCTTTGGCTTTACTTGAGGTGGGCAGGTCGAAAAAGCGTTTATTCTTCCGTTGAGTGCATTCGTTCCAAGTCAGCGTTCTCGTTTCCGCCATGCTGTTTGTTTCTGCAATGCAATCCAAAACTCACAAATTCAAATAATCGGTCAATCGTCTCCCGGGGAAGGGACGAGTTCCGAATCTTGGCGAACCCGTACACCGAAAGCGTCTCACATAAGTCCTCACTGAATCGTTGCCGCTCCTGCGCGCTGTCCCTGCAGTACAGCCGGAAGTCTAAAGATTTGATAGGCATGATGGCGTTTAACTTGAACTCAAAACCCGTGTTGCGCGTACCCGGGAACGATAGAATTGGAAAAGCGACTGTTTCGAGAAGGGACGCGGTTTATGTAGAGCTGTGTGTCTCTCCCGGCGGGTGACTGGTCAACATGATATGTATGCTTCGGTGGAGCAGTACCACAACACCGACTTATAGGTCATACCAGCACCCCCCAACTTTTCTCGACCGACTACCAAACATGAGTGATTCTTGATGAGGTCATGGGATGTTTGGTTTGCAAAACTGTTGAGATTATATTGCTTTTTCCTGATCCGGTGCCTCCATTCGCTCGCTTCGGGTCTGTTTGCTTCACGGGTTGCTTCCCGCATGTGATCCTAGGATCTTATTGGTTTGGGCGCTGGATCACTTTCCGCGGACAGATCTTTTCAATTGACTGGGATAGATTCTGTCCTGAGGATGATTTTCAAGAGCTGTTTTTGTGGCTCTTCACAGTGTGACAGAATGGTGGCTGCAAGTTGCAGGAAGCCCCCACTGGTCTGGCCAGGCTAAGCCTGTTTTGTACAAGCGCCGCTTGAAATCATCTGAACCCTAATCGAGGGATCTCATAGGACATTGTGCCATGGCAAGAGGGTTGAAAATAAGCTTAATGATTTAGAGTTGATTGCCCCTGTTTCTTGTTTATGTTTCTCTTGCTTGAAATTAGACCTTCCAAGGTTGGAAGAACGAGTCATACATGCTTGATGCCGCGTCCATCACACGTTCACATATTCGTTCCTCGAACATTTGCTCACAGATTCCTGCGGTCCTCAAATTAGTTCCAGTTGTTGTTTCAATCTAAATGCCATGGCCCCAAGTAGTCTCGCTTGTATTCTTTCTCGCACCACTCACTGTGGCTCAACTCAGTTCAATACTAATCACCTATTTAAGCTCCGCTGTACAGCTAGCTATGTAGGCGTTGTCCCGAAGCGAGAACACGCCTGGAATCATTCACAAGTTGTCGAGAGATCTTTCCGGGCTACTATGAGTAAAGTCGTTGTTGCGCCCGGAAAATCTTGCGTTGACAGGCCTCGTATGTAGAATCTTGCCATTCGCGACCACCACTTGACTTCGGAACCCAGGCTAGATCGACGGGGCATAAGGAAACGACTCTGACAAGGCAGTGACCACAGAGCGATCCATGCTCACTGGGAGGTCATCTTGCTACCCTAAGTAGAGAAAGCGAAGGCGCTGAGACGTCCGCACCCTCCAAAGACCAGCCTCGTATCAAACCCGGCAAAGGCTCCACAGTTCAAACGGTTTCATGGTACCGCTATCGTGCTCAATCGCGTGCTTCTCGAATGCTTGCATACTATGGCACTTATAAGTTCATCCTAACAACAATATTTCCCCATCAACCTTTACCTGTGCTCATCCGTCAATCCTGGGGCCGCGAGGAATATACTCGACTTCTTATCAGCTTTCACCATGCTTATCTAGCCCTTTTCATAGGCACTTGCTTCGTCTCCATGACATAGGACGCTCCCTGTCATGAGGCGATGCGCACTCGAGATGAGTCAGCGATACTATACCATTTTATTAAGTCCAAAGGCCGAGAGGAATCTGCTTCTGAAGCGAACTATGAAAATTACTCAAACACCTTTCAACTTCATCCTGCACGTCGGAATCATACGCGCATGAGAAATTGACTGCGAAGAGATCAGTGCACCGATCCACGAGCAATACAATCAGCTTTGCAGGCAGGACGTCAGACTCAACCGTTATGTAATTATCTTTGGGAGCAATGATAATCCATAAGGCCGAAATGACAATACTCTTAAAGTACTATACCGCGAGACCGATCTGTTCTAAGCACAACAAATTGCCCCTCGGAAAAGGCCGACCTTGAGGGAGACGCCAATGACCTTCTGACAGGACAAAAGTTGATGGCAATCAATACATCAGTGCAGCCGTGTTTCTGTCAGTGTATGGTTCGTCAGAAAAAGGGTCCAAGTGAAAGAGCGGGTTCCCCAGGCTATTTGCGCTCGAGGGAATTCGTTCGGGTCTAGGTACTAGGTAGCAGTTGCTTCCCTACAGGATCGCACGCGAAGGTGAGCCTCATTTGAAACTCGGATCCCGGTTCTTTTCACCCCGTTTCCTTGTCGAAAGCATCGTCATTTCGAAGACTCTCCCATTCCAGAAATCGACTCACTTTTTTGGAAGCGAAGTGAATGGCTGCATGTTCAAGCCCCTTGATAACTCGAAATTAAAATTCCAACAAGCAGCTATGAACCCCCCCCCCCTCTACTGGTTGTGTCAGCCGTTGCACTGGTGATTGCAGTCACCAAGGAAGGCTTCCCCTGACAGTTCTTGTTGTTTTATCATCTCCCCTCCCAGCTTCAGACCTTTTCATCGTCAATCGGGCCTGCCATAATCGTTGTTTGCGGGTGAAAGCCCGCTCCGAGTCATAGTGAGTCTGTATCAATATAGTAGTGTTTCTGTGCGAGGGTTATATATATGAGTAATATAGTGCCCATCTCTCCACAACCACCGGTACACATCCGTCCACACAGTCCACACAGTCCACACAGAAATTGGCCTGCATAACCAAACTGATGCACCACTGTGGTATGATTCCTGACACCGCAGGAAAGCTATTCGGTATTAACAAATTGGTTAAGACTGTGGTCTTAGCCCCTCCGAGACCTTGAGTCCGGGGACACCCCACCCAGCAGTCGCACGGAATCAGAGGGAGGAAGATTGTGTCGAGACGCGCGCGGACAGGAATCGTCGTTTGCAATCTGGGGGAATTGATGGACATGTACAATCGAGCCGTGGATCTTGAATTTTATGGGGCTGTTCCACACTTCTTAGTCGGGTTACTCGTCTACCTTGACTAGGCATGCTCATTTGGATCTACTTAGAGTAACAATCAATTCAAGGGCCAAAGGTCTATTGCGGATGATATATATTGCCACTAAGCGCACAGACAAGGGCGCAAACGAGAAAACAGGATGTCTCAAGTTTAGCAGGGATCTATGAAGTAGATTGGAAGATCCCGAGTATCTTTTCCTCCCGACAACACTCGCAGCAGGTGATGTGAGCCAGGCGAGTAGTTTCAAGTTTCTGAAGATGGAATCCCTTCGCGATGTGAGCTACAGTCATCGAAGCAGGTTTCAAAAATACTTTCTAATACTACTGTTCCTGGATTTATCTCGTATGAACCTAGTCATGTTTTTACTTGTCGCTTTTTGACTGGGAATTAGACTAGTAGCAAGGATGTATGTGAGGTAGAAGTTGCTGTAGAGATGAGCACGGAGACGAGCAGTGACCTTCTGATTTCTGGTACTCCATTTCATTGGAAGATCGGACCTTATTCATAACGTCTCCGATTGGTAGCCCTTGGGTGATGTTGATACAAATACGTACAGTAAGAGCAGCATTGTTTCGATTTCCTAGACGTCTGAGCGAAGGTCCAGATCAGCTTGATTCCAGCACACTGTCCATGGCAGGCAATAGTGGCCTTAAACGGAAGGAGGCGGGGTTCAAAGGGGCAAAGGAGCTAACCTGACGGCAAAATGTTCTGGAGATCCTGCTTGTTAATATAGAGGCTGAGCGCGTGGGCCTCATCGGGATTGAGATAGGATTCTCCCTGCGGATTCCCCGCGAGAGCCAGCTTCTGGAGTCCACAGAACGGCTGCCCAAACCAAAGAGCAGCGCCTTGTCCGTCAGTGCCCTTGAAAGTCGCACCAAAGCTGACTGTTCCGTTATGGATCGTGTGATACTGCCCCCAACAGAAGCCATTGCATTTGGCGACCGGAATGTGCAAGACATTGTCCAAGACCAGAGTGCGGGCGGGGGAACCTTCCTCCGGGCTGGCACGCACGTTCAGCTCCACCGTGCCGACTCCTGCGATATACACCTCCGCCCCCTGGAACGGTCCGTTTGGAACCATGCGATTCATCGGGCGGTACGACTTGAAGGACGCGCGATTCTTGGCGCAGTGGTTCGTGCCGGACACCACCATCCAGTCCCAGCAGCGAGGGCGGGGTGGGTTTTCCTCCTTTTCCTTCTTGCGATTGTTGACGCGTTCTCCGGTTTCTGTCATTGTGGCTTTCGGCAAGCGAGGGATTGGATTTCTAGTCAAGTGATAAAGAGATCATGGATTAGATATCATCCTCCATCTTTGCGGGAAATAGCATGGATCTCACCTGTTGATTATTGGATGGAGTTGCGTGTTGTGGGGAAGGATCCGGGGTAACGGCGGGAAGTGGGTAAAGTGTAAGTAAGCCTGGAGGTGCTGGAAGTCTGGAACTTTAGGGACCCGACCGAAGGCGGGGTGGGGTGCACCGCCACCCGCAAGCCGGCCCCAACCATTTCCCTCCCCAGGTACAATACAGCAGTACACAACTGGGTAGCAGTGTGGCTTGACTGTAACTATATCACTTTCGTACGACCCATCCTTCGATTTGTGTGTCGATGCCATCGATGCCATCAGTCCGAGGTGCAGGCCTAAGCAGCAGCCGCATAATGACAAGTGTGTCCTGTCTTCTTACGCGGTCTACGCCTTCTGTCCGCCCGGCACTGCCATGCAGGCTTTGGGACTGGGTCCTCTGGCTCTCTGAACAGCCCCCTTCATCCCCTACGCAGGCTATGACAGCCACAAATATGTAGAGTACTTTAGCTGGCTCAATTGGATTTCCTTTCCCAGATTAGCTTATCTTCTAATCTAATGCAAGTGTTTGTTTCTCTTCTACTACCTATGCCTAGATCTTAACTCTTCAAGCTAAGCAAGTAGTAAGCTTTCCTAATTGCAAGAGCTGGTGGTCTTATAGCCCGCGCTAGAAAAGCTACATGACATAGATGAGCAAACATCTGCAAGGCCGCACAGAGATACAGCTACCTCAACGGGGCTGTTTGTCTTCACAGAGTGCACATGATGGAGGGCAAGCGCAAATCACTGACCTTGTTAGATTCACTCAGAATGACACATTCCATTACTGCAGCATCAAGGCTCCTTCCTTCGCTCTTTTTCTTGTTCTTTACATCGGTGCGTTTAATATTTGGGTTTCTGCTTGACTTTCGTCCAATTTCTTCGCTGGGTCCCCTCATTTCGTTCTACGGAGAGGAAGACCTAACTCAACTCCGCCACAATTTAAACGTGTAGGGCGAGTATATCAATTCTACATAACTTCACACGGGAATGTCTCACACCAGCAGCAATTCATCCATGAGGTAGTGCCCAAGCAACTTTCAAACATTTGTGACAGTCCCAAGAATGTCTTCTCGTCTCATTGATCAAATCCCGGCGCCTAAGACACCTCCCAAGATGAAGGTCCTCCTCTTCAGAATGCCACGCACCGGAACGATCTGTAAGCCAACGGCTCTCAATTTCAGTGACCCCCTCCCCTAACCGTCTCCAGTGGAGGCTTACCACAGAACCACGATAGCCATCCGCATGGCGTTTGAGATTCTACATTACTGGCCCTTCCACGGCCGTATGATGGACGAGATACCGCACCTGTACCCGTTGTAGACGGAAGCCCTGGAGGCGCGATACCTGCACACCGGCAAGGACTACACGCGCGCCAACTACGACAAACTCTTCTACGGGTTCAATGTCTCGTGCAACATGACGGGGACCCTGGTCGTGGCTGACCTGATCAGGGCCTACCCCGAAGCCAAGGTGGTGGTCAGCACCCGCGAGGTGGATCGGTGGCTGTGGTCCCTGCGGCAGTCGGTGGATTCTGCAGTTTCCTGGAAATCGTTTGACTGGTTGGCCCCTTGGGATCCGGTACGTTCCACACACACAACCCCCACTAGACTTTGGTGGGGGTAACCCTAATCGAGACTTGGAAAAGATTCCTGTATTGACAATCACGGGGGGAGCTTCCCCCCCACCCCCAAACAACATAATATGTGATCGGGCCATGGTGGAAATACCACAAATTCCAGCACGGGCTACGACCCCCTAATTGCTCCACAAGAGCGCCAGGCATACCTGGATTATTACGCCTGGATTCAACACGCGGTGCCGGCGGAGCGGGTGTTGATGTTGAGGAGAGCGTGAAGACAGATGGATTTCAGCTATCTGAGCACCTATTTAAACTACTAGTTAAGGTAGTAAGCTGCCTAGCTAATAAAAAACCAGATATTTTATTTATCTTTTCAGCTCGCTGTAAGACCCAAATATTCTAAAGCTATGTAAACTATATAAAATAGAGTGGATTAACCTGACCGTTATATCTTAACCTTAATCTGGCCATAACCTAGCAGTCAGATTAAGATATAAAAAAATTTTAACTTTATAATTACAGTTAGATTAAAATATAACTATTATTTTAACCAAATTTATCTGCCGGTTAGAAAGATTATATATAATAAATAGATTAATAACTATAAAGTAATTAATAATATATATATTTTTTTATATAAATAATATATAAAATATAATATATTTTTAATTATAATATAATAATATTATCTAGATTTAGCTTATCTACTTAAT